TTCAGTTAGGCCCACAGCATTTTTATTTTATTATTTTTATCATTTAGTTGTAGTTTTTTATATTAACCCATTTTGTCCAAAATGCTGTTCATACAATAGGTACATCAGATTTTCTGGCACCCTCATATCCAAAGCCTTGCCCTAGTATTAATTTTTATTTATTTATTTATTTATTTATTAACAATTTGAGCACACATACAGAGGTACAAAAAAATACAGATAAGAGCAGCATGCCAAAGCCACTTATACTATGCATAGCATTACGGGCTGGCTTAAAATTAACTTAAGATTAACTAAGCAATGATGAAGTCAGTGATAAAACAATGTAAACAGATTACTATAAAGCACAAGTGAGTATTACAAAGACAGGTCATATGGTTGCATGCATTGTTGTACATTCAGTCGTATGGAGTATTCTGTTAGGTAGTGTATTTAAAAAATAATAAAGTTAGATTGGGTTTTAGGTTTAACATTTATGTGATATAATTGTGAGAAACATTTAAGATATACAATTTATAAGGTTCAGTTATTCAGTATTTATTTGGTTTTGGGTGAGTAAGTGATCTTAGAGAAGAGACTTGAATTTATAAACAGGTAGTGTTTCTTTTATATTTACAGGTAATGAATTCCAGATTTTAGGGCCTTTTATGTGCATTGAGTTTTTGCATAGTGTGAGATGGACACGAGGAACATCAAAGAGTGATCTGTGCCTTGTGTTATGGTCATGTGTTCTGTTGAGGTTGGCAAGGAGATGTTTGAGGGGAGGGTTAATATCAGAGTTGAGTGTTCTATGTATGTAATAGGTGCAGTAATAAGTATGGATGTTTTGTATGGTGAGTAGGTTTAGTGTATTGAATATTGGTGGAGTGTGCTGCCTGTAGTGAGAATTTGTTATCATTCTAACTGCAGCCTTTTGTTGGGTAATTAGTGGTCTGAGATGGTTAATTGTTGTTGAGCCCTATGCACAAATTCCATAGGTGAGATAGGGGTAAATAAGAGAGTGATATAGGGCCAGGAGGGCTGACTGTGGAGCATAGTACCGTATCTTCGATAGTATGCCTACAGTCTTGGAAATTTTCTTAGAAATTTGTTGTATATGTGCATGAAATTTGAGTCTATTATCAAGGTGGATTCCTAAGAATTTTCCCTCTGTTAGCTTTGTGATAGGTGATCCGTTTATCATTATGTTAAGAGGGACATCTGTAGCTCTGTTACCAAACTGAATGAAGTAGGTTTTGTCAATGTTTAGTGTAAGTTTTTTTAGTCCTCATCCAGGTAGATATTTTCTGTAATTCGGTATTTACAGTATTGGCTAGCGTGACTGGGCTCGGGGGGGAGAAGACGTATGTAGTGTCATCTGCAAATAGTGGGGGTTTTTGAGTAATTGCGAAGCATTTGGTAGGTCATTTATGTATAGGAGAAAGAGAAGAGGGCCAAGGACATTTCCCTGTGGGACACCAACTGAAATTTGGTTGTGCAAAAGGGAGTTGCCCCATTTGCGTATACATATTGGCTTCTGTTGCTGAGGTATGACTTGAGGTAGTTGAGGGAGTGCCCTTTTAAATACCATATTTGTGAAAAAATTTATGTGGGCAAGTCATGGTCAACTGTATCAAAAGCTTTACTTTAAAGTAAATGAAGATCCCCAAGTGGGACTTCTTTTTTTCTCTATTGCAGTGTATATATGTTCTAGCATGTGTATAATAGCATCATTAGTATTTTTTTTAAAGGCTTGAATCCAAATTGGCAGGGGTTGAGTATGTTTGGGAGATAAGGTAGGAGTAAAATTCGTTTATGAATTAATTTTTCGAAGATTTTGAGAAAAGGTTGTAAGTTGGATATTGGCCTATAGTTATTCAACTCTGTTTGGTCTCCCCCTTTTGGGGCGGGGTGACCCTTGCTATTTTGAGAACTGTGGGGAAGGTGGAGGAAATTCAATGGTTTTTGTTAAAGAATGTTGCAATGATTGGGTGATAGCACTTGTGACACTTTTTTGTATATAAAGGGGGTAAGGTATTTAAATTTTCCTGCCTTGTTTTTTAGTGCGTTGATAATTAAGGGCTTTCGTTGGGTTAGTCGGAGCTAGAAAAAGTGTTTTTTTCGGGTAGTTGCCGGTGAGGTGTCTTTCGTGGGTATCTGAGCTGGGATTTTATTGCAAGGTTTTGTCCTTGTGGAGAAGAAATCATTGATCTGTTTGCTGTTTCTGTTTTGGGGGGAGTTGGGGTTCATCTGATTTTGTAATTTTATTTCGCTATTTCGTGATTCTTTTTGTTCCAGAATTTCTGATGGGTTTTCGGTCTCTTTTAAAACTCGTAGTTGGATAATCTGTTCTCATAATACAATTTTTTGCCCTTCTTATCAGGCTGTTTGGATTCGAGTAAGTTTTGTTTGGTTTTCTGTTATGTGACCCTTCTGTACTGTTTTTATATTGGTGTTTTGTATTATGGATTGAGAATGTGGGTGTTTAGCCAGGGATGTTCAGTCTTTTGCTTATCTGTTTAGTTTTTTAGGGCAGTGCTTTTTATAGAGGTATTGGGTCTTTTTTAGAAAATTTTTAATACAAAAAGTCATATCTGTATAGATTTTAGCTCAGTGTGCCAGTCAATGTTGCTACTGCTGTTGTGAAGTTATTAATGGCTGCCTCATTGTGAAGTCTGAAGGGACTTTAGTGTCTTGGGGTAGTTTACCAAGAGTTGTTATGGGGAAAAGTAGGGTAGTGGTCTGTGGTATTATCTGAAATTTAAATGCCTGATTTTAAAGGGGATATGGTGTTGGTCCAGATGTGGTCAAGTAGGGAAACACTAGTCTCTGTAACTCTTGTAGGTTTTGTTACTGTTGGTAGCAACATACAGTTACTCATTGGTTGGAATTCAGTAACGTGTGGGTCCTGGTCTTGCAGGAGATTTATATTGAAGTCACCTGAGAGTAGTAAGTGATCTTTGTTCATCGTTGCATCAGTTATCATATTTCCCTAGGTTTTGACTAAATTGGCTAATGTTTGACTGTGGAACTCTGTAGATGTTTATCAATGTGAGAGGTTTTGTAGGTATTTGGATTTGAATTTGGGCTATTATAATATTCCCCATGTTCATCCCTTGTGCAAGTATTAGTGATACATTCTATTTGGGTCTGAGTAGTATATGGCTGTGCCACCCCCTTGTTGGTCTGCCTACAGTTTGTATGGCTGTGTAACCAGGAATGGCATAGACATCTGTACTATCAGGCTTTAGCCAGGTTTCAGTTAGTGTAATGATGGACATATTGGCATGTAAGGAATTTAGTAATGCTATGAGGTCATCGTAATGCTTGCGAAAAGATCTGATATTGTAGTTAAAGATAGTTATGTTGTTGTTGGCACTGAGAAGTGCCTTTGATTGTTCTGCAGTGTAGTAATTACAGTAACATTTTAAGTCATTAAATAAGAGGTTGGTATCAGGATCAATGTTTGTAATCATAAGATTTGTAGTGAATCTATAGTTAGAATTAAGTATAAAACAAAGTAAATAGTCTTAAGCTAAAAAATAGCACCTGAATTATTTAACAAATGTAAAATAATGAGCTAAGGTAGTTTTTTTTTTTTTTTAAGCTAAAATAAAGGAGACAATATAAAAGGGACTAATACAAATAAAGTGATGATCAAATATCACTTCATTTTTTTTTTTTTTTGCCTTTTTTTTATGCTTTGTTTATTCTTTCTTAGATTTTGTCTTTGTGGTTAGTTTGCTTTTGTGTCTTCATCCTGTATCATTGTATGTATCAGTATCCTAACGTGAGTACAGTCAATGTTATTCTAACCATTACTGTCTAAACAAAAAAAAAAAAAGTCTTTTGAAATTGAAGAGAATCTTGTTCTGAAGGTACTGGCACTAAAAGTACGAAATTTGATGGGAAAATTACAGAATTACGCAGGTGCAAAGTTAGGGGTCCAGACGCAATTTATGCATTGGCAATTCCACTGAATTTGAGCACTATTTTAAGTCAATTACATTGCTGTTTTCAGCCAGATTCTATTAAAACTACCCTATAAAGTGCACAGAAGTTGAAACTTTGGCCAGTTGTATACAAAATTAGAAAAAAAAAATTAAAAATAGAGTGCAAAATAAATAATGTAGACATTCTTGGCACTAAAACATTTCCTCTGTTCATGAGTAGAACTATGTGAGGGACCCTGGCTTCAGTCTGTCTGTCTGTCTGTCTGTGTGTGTGTCTGTCTTGTCTGTCTGTCTGTGTGTGTGTGTGTCTGTCTTGTCTGTCTGTCTGTGTGTGTGTGTGTGTCTGTCTTGTCTGTCTGTCTGTGTGTGTGTGTCTGTCTTGTCTGTCTGTCTCTGTGTACATATATGTATATCGTATGTATGTTGAATGATGTATTATACCCCCTTTTGTAGTTGGCCTTTTCCTGGAAATACTAAATGAAAAGTTCTCTAGCCTGCTGCTTAGTGAGGATAATGAGAGATAGTGGCACTTGCTGCTCTGGGGTGTCTGACAATCATCTCTCATTGTCATTTCCCTATTTCCTTGTTCCATTACCCTGATTTTTCATTATTGTCTTATATCTTGTCACTAAAATTGTACTGTTTATTGTTTCCACTTGTTTCTTTGGTAACATAATACCATCTTTCTCTTCATTAGATTTTTTATCCTGTGATATATGTACACAATTAAAAATTTACTGGTTGTGATGTGGTTGTGTTTAGTGTCCATGTGCTTTATCTGCTGTAGTATATTATGTGATTGCTTATCTGTAATCACTTTAGTGAATGTAATTTTTGCAATAATGTTTAATATGCAGATTTTGGGAACTATAAAAAATCTTATTATTATACAGAGCTATCATGCAAAATGTTCACATGAACATAAGTGGAAAATAGTGGCTCGGGAAAGTTGATCTCAGAGCAGAACAGTATTGGTACTGGCATGACTCAGAGCAGAACAGTACTGGTACTGGCATGACGTAACACACTTAATGGTAAGAAATTTTTACATTTTTCCTTCTTTTTCAGAGAGATCTTAGTATGACCGTTAAGGATTTTAATCAGCACCTGGATCAAGTGTCAAAGAAATTGGGGGATGCTGACGGACAAGAAAATAAGGATGATGTAACGTTAAATGAAATTAGAAACGGTAATAATAATGTTGTGACAGGAAATGGAAATAGTGGTATATCTAGTGGGGATGGGAACAGTGATGCGGTCACTTCAGTTAATCCAGTGGCCAAATCCATCGTAAATTCGGGACAGACTAAAGATGTTCATGTTTTACCACCTGCCACTAAACTGCGGGAAGTGCTCATATCTATTTCCAAAGAGAAAGAATTGAGAAACGCTTATAATAAAGAGAGAATGGTAGCAATACCGGTAGTAGATAAAGAAAACAAGCAAATTATAAGAAGACTACAGAGGCTGCCACGGAGGGTAAGTATTGTGCTTCTTGTATTACAGTAGTGGTCAAATGTTTGTTAGTGCATCCATCCCTCTTACTTGTGTCTTTCTGTCAAACTATTTGTCTCTGGTTAATAGTTTCTTTCCTGGGTTTCCATTTTTGCACTTGCCAAACACTCCTCTGTTACAATGAATGCATTTCCTATCACTTTTGTATTGTTTCCTTAAGAATTATTCTTTTGGTTTCTTAAAAAAAAATATATACTATTTGCTGACTTTTTTAAAGGAAAGCCTTGTATATACAGAGTGGTTTTCCAGGAGGCAAAACCAATAAATTTGATTGTGTAGGCGGCCTCCTCAGAGGCTTATACCATAGTGTCGTGTGTAGCCATCATAGTAACCCAGAAATATAATTAACAACATAACAGTGTCAGTCTGTATGTTAGAGAGACTCCCATCTGCTCTAAATTACTTAGCGACAATGCAAATATTGTGTTTTCGCAAAGTAATTTAGCAATAAAATATTTGTTGTGGTGTTACTTAGCAACAACACAAGTATTGTGTTGTTGCTAAGTAATTTAGTGATTGAGTGAGTGATGGCGAAGATTTTTTTTTCACCCTGCCTCAGTGGGATATGGGCAGTGTTAAAAAAAAAAATGCTGAAACTTGTTCTGGTAAGCAGACCTGAAAAATAAGTGTCATTGCATATAAGGCAAAAGATACAAATCCTGTTCACAAGACTTTTAAGAAATTTGCTTTCAAAGCACTTCTTCACAAATTTTACTAGTGCTAGTACTGCTAGTGCTGCTGTTGCTGCTAGTGCTGCTGTTGCTGCTAGTGCTGCTGTTGCTGCTAGTGCTGCTAGTGCTGCTGCTGCTGCTGCTGCTAGGGCTGCTGTTGCTGCTAGTGCTACTGTGTTGCTGCTGCTGCTGCTGATGTTTGTACTGCTGCAACAGGCACTGCTGCTGCTGCAGCTTGTACTGCTGCTAGTTCTGCTGGTGCTAATGCTGCTGCCACTGCTGCTGATAATAATATTGTTGCCAGTATTACTAATGATAATGCTGGTGGTTGTGTGCTGCTAATTTTGGTGGTGGTCCTCTTTGTGGAGGTGCTAGTGGGGGGATGTGGTGAAGGTGCTGGTGATGCTAATGATGGTTGTGGTGCTAATGATGGTGATGGTGCTAATGGTGGTGGTGGTTCTGAAGATGGTAGTGGTATTAATGGTGGTTGGTGGTGCTGCTGCTGTTACTAATAGTAAATGTGACTCACGAAATTGTAATGACACAATTGCAAACAAACCATACAACTACTGATAATAATATTTACCTAATTGTGCTCAGGCCCTCTCATAGGCCTAGTGAGGCCCAGCACTTTACTTCTGAGGCCACTTAGTAATAAAGATGCATGATAAAACAATGAATAAAAATTAGTAAAATTTATTTTCCATGGTATTACATAAGTTTTACCTTACATATATTTTTATTTTTATTGGAAAAACTTGGTTATGCAATGCATGAGACATTATTTGATTATTTTATATTAATTTATTAAATTTGTTTTTATTTCTCTGTGAAGGCACTGATAATACAAGACTTTCAGATTGAGTATTTTTAAGTATTGTAATTCTAATATGTACTACATGCATACTGGATTTTCAAGCCTTTATCACTTCCTTCACTCACCCACTTTGCTCCATTCTTTCTTAAGGGCCAAACTATTTTAAGCACCCCACCTCTTCCACCCTTCCATTTATAACTTTTGTAACCCCATACTGTCTTCAGACGTCTGCACTCGTCAGGTTACATTCAAAAATATATCAGTGAAAGCTGTATTTTAGTACATAAACAAATCAGTTAATTTTTCAGATAGCTTATAAAAAAGTCTGTAATATTCAAGATGGTAAATCCTTCTTCAGTTGGTTTTGTCCTGACCTATCTGTTTCATGGCCTTCATTGTGCAGAGTACATCACCACTTCCTGGGGATGATCAGTCACTTTCTGTCAGTCTCTGTTGCCTTATATTACTGATCTAGCATTGCAGGGATTAAAATTTCCTTCTGGAACTGATCCAGGCACTCAGCATTAATGCTTTCCATTTTTGTTTCTAGTGCATTAGATTCACTACTGAGAAGGATCACATTATAACCTGAGGATGATCTAGGGATTTTATTAGAGCTATTGTCCCTCTCTTCTCACAGGTGTGTCAGCTTCTTGTGACTTAGTCTCAGAAACACTACACCATAGAGGATGGGATTTCCTTAGCCCTAATGAGAGGACTAGCATTTAGTTCTTTCATGCAGGGCTTGTGAACTGCATCATGCCCTGGATGATGACTACATAATGTCTTCCAAACACTTATCTACCATTATATTGGTTAGTGGAGTGCCTTTAATTACCATATAGCTAATTTCAGCCACACATGAGCAGTTCACTTTCAGCTTATCAACTAGCTAGATTCCCTGACTGCCTGCTAATACATACTCTGTGGCTGATCTTTGTGGTTGTATGCCTAGCACTGTCTTGTGACCTGCAGTCCTCTATTGCTCTCTGAGATGTGCCCAACCTCTTGAATGTCTTTCAACTTCTTTGTCTACAATGACATTTCCACTGGTTCTTGTAACAGTTCTTGTAACTTGTTACCAAGTTCCTTGGATTTAGTGTTGCTGCTGTTTTTCTAGCCCAGAGTAGAACTCCTTGAACTACAGAAGAATCAGTGTCTGCTGTTTGTCATCATATCTTCCAGGTCCAGTCTTATTCAGATTGGTCATCTCATTTTGTATGTGGCAAGTGCCATATTATCACTAGAGTATCCATCATGGATTGATAGCAGTGCAGCTTCTTCAAAAAGGTTCCTCAGGATCTTGGAGGCTTGTGGTTATCTGTACACTGTGCTGTTTTAGTGTCCAGTTGTTTAGTGCCAGCATTTGTCAGACACAACTGCCATAAAATTCATGCAGTTATTCTGCAATCCCCAGGCATAATTAGCTCCTGCTAGGATAAATATAGGTGCAGTATTCAGGCTATCTTTCCATCCTAATCCCACAGCAGTGGTTAACAAGTGCCTTCATGTATGTGCTGTTTAAACTGCTTCAGGGTGTTCATTTCTCATGTTGTCCTACCTTTTGTGCCAGTGTCAGTCTGTTGTACCTGCTCTTGACTACCATCTGCTGTTGCTTGTTCTATCATTTGCTTCTGCTTGCCTATCATGCATGCTGTCAACCATATGTCATGTGATCACTGCAGATTGCTAACTGTTTCTTTCCATCTTTTCTATTATTGTCACTTAATGGGTCACTGACTAATGAGCAACCCACGTTTATACAGGGTGTTTTAAAAAGACGGACCCAGTGTCAAAGCAGTTTGCTTTGAAATTGGGTCCATTGTTCTGAAACACCCTGTATATATAATATAGTAATAATGTAAGTAGGAAAATACCAAAATCTCTTCCTATATGCACTTGTATTTTTTCAAGAAATTATTTGTTGGTTTATTTTTATCTTGAGTAAATTTATCAGTGTCACTGTTCCTTCATACTGGAAGTCGCTCTTATAAATTGAGAGGTACCCAACTTTGACCCCTGTATAATGCCACTTAAGGCTGGTAGTCCCTTTACTATTTTCATTTCTCCCTCTTTAGGCAAAAATTTTGTTGCCTATCTGCCTTGATTCAGGAGAGAATTTCTAGTTTAGTACCAAAATTAAATTTTGTTCAAGTGAGTTCATCTTGCATCTAATAGTGTTGACTGAACTGCAGTAGTTATCCTACTGTTATGTTCATGATGACAGGGCAGTACAGTAATTCTGTTCTAAAAGCATATCACTCCTTTAGTTGATGCATATCTCATGGGTCATCCTTCCATATCTTTACTATGATGCAAGTCTTGTTTACAATGATTCATTAAAGAACAGCTTATTTATTTTATAGTTATAAGAGCAGAGGTGCGCTCGTGTTGCCACATCTTCAGTGTTATCAGAATTGTCTTTATTCATTTGATGGTAACCTTTCATGATCTTTTACTGTAGTATTCATGTGAAACCATTTTTAGTGTGGTACTTTTCCTATTTTATTTACCTAGTTTTTGTGTTGCTAGTTTTTAACTTGTTACCATGCATATATAGCAAAAGGCTCTTCGTGAAATTTACCAATAAAGCATAAGCATATACTAGAGCTTTTTACTTCTGCATATGAAATCTTTTGATAATTTTAGAACAGCAGTAAATTACAGATTATCCGGCCTTTTCGGGTAAGGAAGGGGGGCACCAGATTTTCAGCCTTGGGTTTGCACATCCTTTACATTATCTCTTAAAGTGCCAGATTGAACAAGATCCCTGGATAATGTTGGAAGTAGAATAACTGAACCCCAATAATTCCAGTCAGTTTTTCTCTTGTGATATAGTGAGATAAAGAACATGGGTTACTAAGAATCTGGAATATCTGTCTGTCACATAGTTTAAAATAGTTAAATTATACCTTTTGATGGTGCATGTAAACATATTTTATAAATCTGTTTTGGTATACTTATCAGAGTGTCTCTGATTATTGACTAATATACAGAAAGAATACAAAGGCACAATACCGTGACCGGAACAATACGCAAATAAACCCACACACTGGAGAATGAAACTTGGGATGATGTTTTGGTCTGATTTGTACAATTAATGTGCAATGTTTATTAAGACTTCATTTAAATTATTAATGCATTTTTATCCCTCCAAGGGAAGTTCTTTGATGCCAGTGATGGGTTCTTTATCCAAGGAATTGGATCTGATCTTCCATTTCTTAGCTCGAACCTAATTTCTTCCTATTTTCCTCGGGTGCTGTATGACTCCTACACATTTAGAGCTCTCCACTCCTTGAATGTAATGATAACACTGTAACACATTTTTATATCAATAGGAGTTGGAGAACATGATTTTGCGGCAGTTCAGCGAGAAGACACTGTATCAGTGCGAGTTGGGAAGAATGAAGCAACTGTGTGAAAAACTAGAAACTACACTTGAAAGTAATCGCAAGAAGACTGCTCAGTTTCATAAAGAGGTGAGAGATTGACAATTTTCCATGTAATTGATCAAACAAGATCATAATGAATTGTATCTTCTTTTGCTCTTGTCTTTGATTAGGTCCATTAGTAGCTCAGGGAATGTGATCAGCAAGTGTAAGTCTTTTTCCTTTTTAAATTTTGTTAGATAACTGTTGGGATACTTTTTAGATTGAATGTACATGGTGTGCAGTGAACCCTTTAGTTAAGGACTAATGGGAGGAGGGGAGTGTACAGTATTATGGATTGTCTGTACATTCTGAGTTATGAAATTAATTTTTCATGATCATAACATAAATGGACAAAGTTCTGAATTGGTGGACTTGATCTGCAGACTCGGAAGTCTATCAGGCACTAAGAATATGAGTTTGTAACCTGTAGTATTACAGTACATTACTGTACTGTAATACTACAGGTTACAAACTATACAGTACAATACTATACAGTACTACTGTACTGTATAGTAATTTTATAGCTTGTATGTTATGGTAATTTTAATTACTTTTTCATGTTGGAGAGATGAGGCATAAAGTGACATGATGAGTCAGAGAAGCTGTAAAGCTGTAGTAATGAAAATGTAAATGACTGAGAAGACACAGATGGGCTTTATCATGGGTCATTTTCATATTTGCTTTTGGTGACTACACAAATAAATTTTTGTTTGTTTGTTTTTTTGTTATGAATGAATTTTGAACCTTCATGGCTAGATGAATATTGAATCTTCATGGCTAGTATCTACCCTAAATTTAAGAGGATAGTCTGTAAGACTGTCCTTGCTTCTACAGCTATCAGACACTGTTTCTTATTCTGCACATACCCATGCCAGTGAAATGCCAGACTCAACCATCTTTATTAGTTAAGTTTCTGCTTAACAGTGAGAGCCACACGTTTTTCCTTGGCACCCTCACTTGAAAATTGCCAATTGAATGATGAGCGTATGCACAAGTGAGCATAGACAATAAATTGGCGTAGGAAGCCTGTGGCTCGAGGAGCAATGAAAATAGGTCCTGTATATGGCTCCCAGGTGCAGTGTGGGACATATGTCAGAATCATCGGAATTGGTCTGATTATACAGAAGATACTATCAGTAATAACAGAATCTGAAATTATGGACTTTTTTCAATTTTGTCCATTTTTTTTTTTTTGTCCCTAATTTCCGTAATCTGTTAATTTGAGGTCTTGCTATACTCAAAATTAATCTTTTTTTCCAGTTAAAATTTGAAGTGATACTGTATTTCATTTATATTTGTGCATGCCTACAGTAAAACAACTTTTTGTTGTGTTATAGATTGAAGACTTAAGAAAGGTAACCAATCGACTGTCTACTGAACACGCTTCTCGGAAAGGGCAGTATGTAGCACCGATAAGAATCAAGAGATCAGTTGGAATTCAAGCAGCGCCTCATATTGTGAGTACAGTGCATTATCTGCTCTGTTTATTACTTGAGACCAGCATATTATCTTTACATGATCTTAAGTGTAAGCTAATTTTTGAGTCAGTTGCAGTGACACTTACCATATTTTCCAGCATACAAGGTGCACGGCAGAAATATCGTGATAGTAAATCAGTAATCATATTCAAGGGCTGATTATCCTCTTACTTTTACTAAATGTAACCCAAAGCCTATCCTAAACCCTTATCTTGAACATATAAGGCACAGACTGATTTTCTAAGACTGTGGGGAAAAAAGGCAAGACTCACATGCAGGAAAATACTGTAAGCTAAAAATATTCAAATTTTGTTGTTAAAGCAGCTTTACAGTACTTATATGAGTTTAGTCAAAGTTGAATTGTGGAGGTTGAAAGTGCCGTACCTGCACTCTGAAGGTTGGGAGTGCATGTTACAGTCCTAGAGGTGGAAAGTGCAGTGCCTGCACTCTGCAGGAATAGTGTGCATGTTAATCCTGGAGGTGGAAAGTACAGTGCAGGAATGGTGTGCATGTTAATCCTGGAGGTGGAAAGTACAGTGCCTGTGCTCTGAAGGAATGGTATGCATGTTAGTCCTGGAGGTGGAAAGTACAGTGCCTGCACTGCAGGAATGGTGTGTATGTTACAGTCCTGGAGGTGGAAAGTACAGTGCCTGCACTCTGAAGGAATGGTATGCATGTTAGTCCTGGAGGTGGAAAGTACAGTGCCTGCACTCTGAAGGAATGGTATGCATGTTAGTCCTGGAGGTGGAAAGTACAGTGCCTGCACTCTGAAGGAATGGTGTGCATGTTAGTCCTGGAGGTGGAAAGTACAGTGCCTGCACTCTGAAGGAATGGTATGCATGTTAGTCCTGGAAATGGAAAGTACTGTGCATGCACTCTGAAGGAATGGTGTGCATGTGGTTCTCAGGGTTATTTGTATTGGGATGTCCTCAGTTTTTATAACAGCTTTAAATGAATAATAGTGAATTTTTCTCTCTCGCTCTCTCTTTTTCTTTCTCCTCCTCTTTCTTGCTCTTTCTTGTATCAACCCTTCCTTGGTGAGACATGACCTATGTAGCTAAGAAAATATGTGCAGTACAATAATTTACATAGGACTTAGTATGGCGAAGAAAGAGCTGCTCTTAAATGCTTGGTAGCCATTTGATATTTTCTCAGCAATTTTATTAAAGGTTCACTGAAAATAACTGTTAAAATAGCTGTATGTTAACATAAATGGTTGTCATTAATATTAATACTGTCACCATTTAACTAGAGAAAATATTATAAGGGTTTATTATGTGAAAGAAATAACTGCTTATTGTATATTGTACAATCAAACACCACTAAAAATTGATTGTGCAAAATCACCTCTATTCCTGCAGATATGTCTGACATTGCAGCTCTTTATTGCAGATTTTGTATAAGTATCATTCGTGCCATTCTAGAGGTGGGATTTTGAAGTAGTAACCCTGTGATTTATTGGACTTCAGAAAATTAGGACAGAATCCCCTGGGTCAGTTGATTTGGAAACCACGGACAAAGTCTGTTTGTTACAGAATTTTCTATTATTGTTATGATTGTGGCAAAACAGTCTCATCTCTGTCCACCACAGTTGTCATTACTGGCCACTACTGTCTCCTGTTAGTCCAGTAAATCTAGAGTTTACCTTATACTGTAGTTAAATTTCAGGTCACCAGTTTTCTGAGAAGTGTTCAACTATTCCACATAGTTTGAATTATAACCTAAATTCTCACTTTCATTTCACAGATAAACAAAGGCATTATGCATGCCAACGGGAGTGGTGGTATGATCAAGACTATTGCTCCACGACCGTCATCGCTGGCTGGGGTAAGCAGTCCCTCTTATCCAGTCAAACCCTTCTACCTTGTGGGAAGTCAAGGGGGCTCACCACCAAATGTCACATTTCATACTAAGGTTAGCTTATGATGCAATATGAAAATAAGGAAAGCACTACTGTACCAAGGAGACTATCCACACTAGGTTATTTAATCTATTATACAATCTTGATATCAAAGTGACACTTTAAGTTGTTTCTCCCTTATATAATGTTTTTATTCTTAACTAGTAGGTTTTTTAAACCTTTTAATTCCAATTTTTATACTTAAGTATAAGTTGTGTTGACTAGATGCAGCGAATATCAAGCTTAACTATAATCTCTAATAAATTTATTAGTTTTTGCATATATGGACTGAAGTTAATTATCACAAAACATTAATGCTTTTTAAACAAAAAAATTTATTTGCAAAATGTATGTAATTGTTTCAAAATTAAGTGATATCCATTTCACACATTTTCAAAAGCCCCGGGTTATGCCGAGCGTTGCGGCCACACTGAAACTACAACTTCAAATTACTTGACAATTTGTAGTTGAAATTATATTTGAATAGCAAATTTAGGATAACTACTTGAAAATTATTTTTTGTTTTCTTATTCTTCTGCTGCTATTTCTTTTGTTGCAGCTAAATTTATTTACGTTTTTTGCTTCTGCTTCTTTTGTTGCCTCTGCTGCTGCTACTAGTTTTTGCTTGCTTCTAAATTTTATAAAAAAGAACTTTTGAGTACACATTTTTATCTGCATAAATAATGTTTTTGCTTTATTTTGCAGATGATTCCACCCACCAGTACCTCACAGAATCTTGTTGCACAGAGTGTAGGAATTTTTACTCCCCCTCAATCTGGTGTTGGTCGGCAACAGACAATAACCAACATAGCCAGTGCTGCGAGTCTTGCTGCTGTGGCCACCTCCACGTCCGGATTGAGTACTGTCCGACCGACTGCAGGTCAGATGCTCATGATGACACCCACAGGTGCCATGCAAGCATTGCCCAGAGCTTCTAATGCAGGTGAGTATCACCATTAGTCAGCAAACTTATTGCATGCATGCACATGCAATAAGATCACAGTAAACAGGCGATATCACAATATGCAGAACAACCACTGTGAAAAAATAGCGAAATTCCAAGCGCTTTCATGACTTCTCACATTATCAAGGAACTCTGATAATATGAGAAGTCACAAAGGTGCTTGGAATTTCGCTATTTTTTCACAGTGGTTGTTCTTCACGCATGTACGTGCATGTGTAGTGCGGCCTAAGTGTAAGTAGAAGTAGCAAGGTATAATTGGTATCCTGTGTGTTTTTTGAAAAAAAAAAAAAGACACCAGCGATCGTACCATCATGTAAAACAATTATAGGTTTCCATTTCACACTCACTTGGCAGGACGGTAGTACCTCCCTGGGTGGTTGCTGTTTACCAACCTACCACCTAGGAACATGTTTATGCTATCATATATTATGCGAGCAATACAGCTAGGTGTAAAAAATGCATATACAGTACACACATTCTTACCTCAAAATTTTTTTGTCCCTACCTTATAGCGAGTGGTGAATATATTTATTGTAGGAAGTCTGAATAAATGAAAACTGCTGTATTAGTGAAATACTGTAAGGCAAAGCACTGTACTCTGAAATGAAATGAGTCTCCCCCAGTGGATAAACCTCTAATAAATGTTTAAAGTGTTGAATATGTCTGCTTGTCTCAGTATGTACATTTTAAAACCCTTTACACATGTAAATTTTTAGTGATGGGTAGCATTTTTTGAAAATACAGGAACTCTGTAATATAGGAAGAAGAATGATACAACTCTGCCTATCACTAGGATTCTATAGTAATTGATACATCTCTAAACCCTAAGTCTTGGTAAATAATTACACAGTGTCTGATAAGCAGTGTAAGTATTTCAACTCCAAGATAGTGTATGGTATGTCTTAACAGCTATAGAAAACTGCCTTAAAATAATTCTGCTGAGGGCTAAAGATTTTGCTTTCTCCTAGGTGTGGTCAGCTCTGCTACAAGTGTTCTTCCTGTTGCTCAAGGAAGAGTTGTCCGAGCTCCCATAGGTGGATTGACCTCGGTAGTCCCATCAACAGGAACCTTATTAAGCACTCAGAGACCAGTGTTGTTACAAAACGACAAGGCTATCACAGGCACTACATCAGTCCTGCAGACGCCACTGAGTAGCAGAGGCAGTGGAGTTATTGACCTCACTGATGAAGATGAAGGTGAAGATAACATTTTTCTAAGCAGTATTATTTAGTTAATTTTGAATGAAATGAGTAGGCACTCTATATAATTCAGTGGGGTTATTTTGGTGTGTGATGTATGTGCACATCTAAAAAGACATCTATACAATGAGCAGTGAAGTGTGAGAAAGGTCACATTTTTGAAGGGCATCAGGAAACTGATTAGTCCAATGGAATTCTGAAAGTGAACAGTAGAGTACAATGCCTACACTGAAGATGAGAGGGATGCTATGATTTGAATTTTTTTTTTTCCTCTCGATAGCTTTCTCCCTCCAAGGTAGGGTGACACAAAAAAAAAAAAAATATCGCCACCATTCATTCAATAGCTGTTTTTCCAGAAATATGCGGACATCACAATTCAATTACCCTCCAACTGCAACACTGCCACCTCTCTTGCAGGGTGCATGCACTGCTCTTTCCACCTCCAGGACTCAAGTCTGGGTAATCCCTTTTCCTGTATACCTTCATAAAAGTTAACCTTTAACAGCACACTCATTAAAAAAACCATTTGTCTCCATTCATTCTTTCTAACATGTGCACACAAGCCTGCTGGATGCTCAAGCCCCTAAAGCTCAAAGCCTCTTTTACCCCCTCCCTCCATTTGTTCCTAGGATGACCTCTATCCTTCCAACCTTCAACTCTAGATTTATACACCCTTTTTGTCATCCTCTTCACATGCCCAAACCTCAGTAACCCCCCCTTTCTTATCCCCTTAACTGTGATCACTTTTTAATTTCTATGCTTCAAATTTTCTGCATGATATTCACACCACACACACCTCTCATATGTAGCATCTACCCTCCCCACTGCAACATTAGAAACCTTTGCCTCACACATGTATAAAAGTGTTGGTATAACTATACTGTGCTACATTACTTTTTTTTACTTCCATAGATAAACATACTGTCTATTGATACTTCAACACACAACCCACTTTTTTTTTTTCTCTTTTCTATGGTTCATCTCATTTTTCATAGATCTATCTGCTGACAGGTCCACTCCCAGGTATCTAAAAACATCTGCTTCCTCCATACTCTCTCCAATCTGATATTCAGTTCATCGTTGCCTTGACTTATTTATACCCCCCCTCAACCTCTTTTCTAAGTTATTGCCTATCTAGGCATATTTGAATTCCTTTATAGCTATTACAGTACTTTGTACACTCTGGCAGCATAACAAATCTTATGGATGACTAACCTGGCTTAATTCTCATTTAACTTGCTTACATATGGTTGTTGTGTTTGAACCTTATGTATTGTGACTTCCTCTCTGAACCCTTTCTTGGGTTCCTGTACTCCTTCCATCTATTCCATTTGTGTACACTTTTTATCAGCTTGCCTTGCTTCATTTTTTTGCTCTTTACCAGTTCATTCTTACAATCACACTTTTTTCTATAACACCAGCCATCTCCCACAATCACACTTTTTTCTATAACACCAGCCATCTCCCACTGAGGCAGAGTGACCCAAAAAAAATTTTTTCTTCTTTCTCATATTTAGTAATTTGTACATGAAAAGGGGTTACTAGCCCCTTGCTCCTGACATGTTAGTTGTCTCTTGCTACATGCATAGCTTGGAGGAAGCATTCTGCTCCACTTCCTCATGGAGTTATAGTTACACATATATTAAAAATGTTTGCGAGCCAGTGGATCTTAGTATTATTTATTCATGTTCATGGAGAGGCATTAAACCGGTAAAGATAATGCATGTAGGAATGGGAGATAATCAAGGTAGCTCCAGTTTCTAGGATCAAAATCCCTTCAAAACATCAATTCCCCCCATTCCCCTCTAAGATTTTTTGTTGCCTTACTTTTCGCGAGATTGTCCTGTATTTATTATTACTATACATGTGATGGCTATCATTGTAGAATGACTCATGACCTCTTGCATTTGATTCAAAATAGTCTGACATTACTTAACTTGTTTTTGCAGGCAACAGAAGACCCGCAGGCATTGTTCCTAAGCCTGGTACACTTGTCAAAGTACCAACGTCAGGCACCGCTCAACTTCTTCCTTTACAAGTGAGTTTGTTGTTGGTGCAGGATGTAGTGCTTTGAACTTTATAATAGAAACAGCAGTCAAAAGATTTTGCCTCTGATCATTCCTTGGAAATTAATGCACATACAGTACCTGTGAATGGCCTTCTCAAGCAAAAGTTAAGATATGTACATTTATAAACATTATCTCTCAGTCCACGGCAGGATTCAAACCTACAAACTCACACCTACACTTTGATACAGAGTGTGAAGGTTCAAATACTACTGTGGACTGAGAAATAATATTTGTAAATAATTTTGTCCGTTTACGAATTGTTAAGCACGTACGTTTATATACAGTTCATAGGCACAAAATAACACCATATATGTTTATTTTTCTTTGTACTGTAATATGGAGCAATATGTACTATTATTTCTATGTAATGGATTAAAATTTTTCCATAGACACAAGATGAGTCAAAAGAGTTATATAAAAACATTTTCTGGTTGTGAAGCATATTCTGTTGATGATTAAAGATTATTTGTTTAGACTTGTTGATAGTCATGAACACTTAGCACTGAAGGCTATGTTAATCAACTGCAGTAATTAATGTATTATTACAATATATACAGTATTTTATTTTTTACTTTTTATATAAGGGAGAGCATTCCCACCACTTTTTCTTACTAATTATGCTGAGAATTTCTGTAGTATAACAGCGCTCTTTAAAATGTCATTAAGATTGGGGATAGAATTTTGTAATTAGATTTGTTGACAATTTTCTAAATGGTTCATTTTGACAAGAAATTTTAATTTCAGCATTAACATGCAATCTGTACACCTCAATCTGTTATACCACCATTCACTTATTTGCCATATGGGTATTAGTTTTAGAGTATAAATAGACACTAAATAGATTTGGCTATCCTTGCTCACTATAATTTCATAAATTTCATTCTCATTTAGTGTAAAATAGCATAAATAACATAAATAAAAAAGAAATATTAAATCTTTATGTAATGTAGAAGACTGAAGTTTAAATTTTTATTACATATTAACTCCTCAGTACAATTTTTTGGGGGAGTTATTATTCAGCTTAGTAATACATGGCTTAGTAAATTTATTTGATGGAGCTGCATAACCGTTTGTACATTGTTTGAATTTGCAAATATGAACTGATGGATACCTTAAATAACCCATGTAAAACTAAAATTAGACTATTATCACAGTTATTATATAATCCAGGGGCTAGTAACCCCTTGTCCCGTATAAATTACTAAATTTAAAAGAGAAACTTTTGTTTTTCTTTATGGGCCACCCCGCCTTGGTGGGATACGGCCGGTGTGTTGAAAGAAAGAAAGAAGCACCTAACCTAAAGGGTCATACAGCACTGCAGGGAAGGAATGTGCAAAGGAGAAGAATGAGTGAGGGGTAGGGATGTACATTAGGGTTGTTGGAGGTATGGGAGCATCCAAGAGTAAAATTTAAGCCAAAGTTGGTGTAGAAGGCATGTAGTTTACTGTTACCCAAACAGCTGAACCTTTGAATTCAGGAGTCTGGAGTATAACTTTAGATTTCTTCATTATTTGAAAAGAGTGCCTTCACTCTGAAAAATGCGTGGGAATGCTGTGACTTGAACCGTCATTTAAACTGATATCTGCTCACTTTTAACAAGGTAACTAGAGAATGACTCGTGCTGAACGAATTTCCTTCGAGTTACCATTAAACTGACATTTCATTGACAGAAGATGCTGTGTAACATAATATTGCGTAACTTTAGTGGCAACTCATATATCATTGTGCACACCTGACACAAAGCAAAAGTTCATTAAACTTTAGATTCAAATTGGGTTGAAAGGAACTTTGTCATATCGAAAATAATTTGTTTTGTCTTTGTTATTAAACTGACAAACTGCTTTGTTGAATTTTAGTATTAGTTCAGTTTGAATTGTTCCAGTTAATTTAAGCCTGTTCACCACTACATTGCTTATTGTTCAGGAATGGTGACTTGTCTGCCATGTGGGCTAAATTCTTTTAAGGAAATAATGGCATGATGGTAATTCAGTGAATGTTAGTAAATGTGTTATCTTTCTTGGGTCATCCCACCCAGATGGGAGACTGCCATTGTTAAACGAAAGGGTAGGCAAGTGTACTTCATTGCCACTGTTGTGATATGTGTACATATAATCAATAAAATTTAGGTGGAAAAGAATTCTTATGAAAATTATGCCAAAGTAAACAGTGTTGAATTAAGATATTGCTGGGCAGGTTTATGCTCAAAGCTAAAATATGTGGCATTCCAAAAGGCTAAAATTTTAATTTACAATTTGTGACCTTTAAGCTAGCATGATTGCTATCAAAATTATAGTTTGTCTTTAAAGAGAGCATTTTGTTCATCTGTTTTCAGCAGGCAGGAGGTGTTGGGCAAGTTGTCCTGCTTCCACAAATGTCCGGTGGGCAACCCACTGCGGCTCTTATTGTTAGTCAAGTGGTGAGTTACTCGGTTGTCATTAATCATTTTAATGAAAATTGAAAAAATGAGCAATTTGATATATTTGGAGTTGCTGTTTAAGTTGTAAACTTGCTTTTTGTTTGGTTTTAATATTTACATTTCTTACATTTGAATAATATTGGATTTTTATGTTTTGTTTTCAAGAATGTTTATTTTCCTGCGCCAAGAGTGAAGGTTAACAATTGTCCGTTTATTTTAGTCAACTGGAATGACGACGCTGGACAGCATGACAAACCCAACCGTAGCTCAGGCTCGTATAGGTTCACTAGGAAGCCATACAACTAATAACTCTCGTGTTATGGGGTCCGTTGTAAACACTGCACCTAGAACCACAACATCTACCTTGCCCCAAGTTACTCAGGTGGGTTTAATGACAAAGATGTCAGGACTTTTTGCTTGAGAAATAACCATTCTCAATAGGTGCAACACCTAGAGAACTGGAATATTTTAAATAATGAAATCATGCAAATAATTATAGCAGGATTATTAATGATCTAATTATCAAATCTTGCAAAATGCTTCAGTGTCCTAAGGCAATGTGGATGCAGAATACAGTAAGTATATGTTGTAGGTGATCCTTATTTCAGTTTTCAGAATTTCCAGTTTTTGGATGATAAAATTCCTGAATCTTGTGACATTAGTTAGTGAATTTTTTTTTTAATCCCCTCAGATGCGGCATCCTGCCCCTCTGCCAAGAACACCATTCCAGCAGGTGGGCGGCTTATCTAAAAAACTCCCTCCTCAGCCCACCTTGAAACTCTCACACAAGGACAGCAGTAAGTTAAGAATATATGTGTGGGTAGATAAGCGAAGGAAATTAGGCCAGTTTTTGATGAGAAGTTGAACACTAAATGATATTTGGTGCATTGAAAAAAGTATTGTAATGTCAAAGTTTCGTGTGCAAACATGCAGATTGATGTAGGGAGTGAAATGCCTTACTTGGATAACGTCTCGAGGGATCATAGTTTTATTATTTTTCATTGGTCTGCTTATGGTAGGAAAGTGATTAAAGTAGAAAGTAAGTGTTATCAGTGCAAAGGAAAGAATTTCATAAAGGGCAACTCCATTGGTTCAGTTAGGCAAGGCATTCTGTCAAAGTTTAAGTAGAAGTGTCATCTGCAATAAAGATCAGTTTTAATTTCTGACTAAATGAATGCAATAGTCACATTATTGCTTGTATGACATCACAATTTTTTCCAGGTATTGTTCTTTCATGGACCATGTCAAAAACTGAAGACCATGAGGCTATTGCTAGTTACCAGCTATATGCTTATCAGGAAGGTGCTGCACCCCCAAGTGCCAACTTGTGGAAGAAAGTGGGAAGTGTAAAAGCCTTGGAATTACCTATGGCTTGTACACTAACACAGGTGAGGACAAATTTATCTGAGATTTAAGGTATTTTGTATGTATGAAGTAAAGATTAACAATAATCCTCCCTGTCTGTTTTTTTTTTTTTTTTAACACTGCCGTTTCCCACCAAGGCAGGGTGGCCCAAAAAAGAAACACTTTCATCATCATTCACTCCATCACTGTCTTGCCAGAGGCATGCTTACACTACAGTTATAAAACTGCAACATTAACACCCCCTCCTTCAGAGTGCCAGCACTGTACTTCCCATCTCCAGGAATCAAGTCCGGCTTGCCGGTTTCCCTGAATCCCTTCATAAATGCTACCTTGCTTACACTCCAACAGCACGTCAAGTCCTCAAAACCTTTTGTCTCCATTTGCTCCTACCTAACACACTTGTGCACGCTTGCTGGAAGTCCAAGCCCCTCACACACAAAACCTCTTTTACCCCCTCCCTCCAACCTTTCCTAGGCCAACCCCTACCCTGCTTTCCCTCCACTACAGATTTATACACGCTGTCATTCTATTTAGTTCCATCTTCTCTACATGTCCAAACCATCTCGATAACCCCTCCTCAGCCCTCTGGATAATAGCTTTGGCAATCCCGCACCTCCTAATCTCCAAACTATGGATTCTCTGCATTATATTCACACCACACAGTGCCCTCAGACATGACATCTCCACTGCCTCCAGCCTTCTTGTTGCAATATTCACCACCCATGCCTCAAACGCATACAAGAACATTGGTATAACTATACTCATACATTCCCCTCTTTGCTTTCATGGATAAAGTTCTTTGTCCCTGCAAACTCTTCAGTGCACCACTCGCCTTTCTCCCCTCATCAGTTCTGTGACTCGCCTCATCTTTCTTAGACACATCTGCTGACACGTCCACTCCCAGATATCTGAACACTTTTACCTCCTCCATATTCTCTCCCTCCAATCTGATATCCAATCTTCTAATTTTTTTGTTATCCTCATCACCTTACTCTTTCCTATATTCACTTTTAATTTCATTCTTTTACATACCCTACCAAACTCATCAACCAACCTCTGCAACTTCTCTTCAGAATCTCCTAAAAGCAGTGTCATCAGCAAAGAGCAACTGTGACAACTCCCACTTTGTGTTATTCTTTATCTTTTTAACCCCACACTTCTTGCCAACACACAAGCATTCACTTCTCTCACAACTCCCATCTATAAATATATTGAACAACCACAGTGACATCACACATCCCTATCTAAGGCCTGCTTTTACTGGGAAATAATCTCCCTCTTGCCTACACAAACTAACCTGAGCCTCGCTATCCTCATAAAGACTCTTCACTGCTTTCAGTATCCTACCTCATATTCCATACATTTACAACATCTGCCATATTGCCCCCCCCCCCTATCCACCCAGTCATATGCCTTTTCCAAATCCATAAATGCCACAAAAACCTTATTACCCTTATCTAAATACTGTTTACCTATATGTTTCACTGCAAACACTTGATCTACACACCCTCTACCCTTCCTAAAGCATCCTTGTTCATCTGCTATCCTGCTCTCCATCTTACATTTTTTTTTTTTTTTTTTTAACAAGTTGGCCGTCTCCCACCGAGGCAAGGTGACCCAAAAAGTAAGAAAAAATCCCCAAAAAGAAAACACTTTCACCTTACTCACACATAATCACTGTTTTTGCAGAGGTGCTCAGAACACAAAAGTTTAGAAGCATATACATATAAAGATACACAACATATCCCTCCAAACTGCTAATATCCTGAACCCCTCCTTTAGAGTGCAGGCATTGTACTTCCTATTTCCAGGACTCAAGTCCGGCTATATAAAAATAACCGGTTTCCCTGAATCCCTTAACTAAATATTACCCTGCTCACACTCCAACAGATCGTCAGGTCCCAAATACCATTCATCTCCGTTCACTCCTATCGAACACGCCCATGCACGCCTGCTGGAAGTCCAAGCCCCTCGCCCACAAAACCTCCCTTACCCCTTCCTTCCAACCTTTTCGAGGATGACCCCTACCCTTCTTACTCTTAATTCTTTCAATAATAACTACCATGCACTTTACCAGGTATACTCAAGACTTTTTTTTTCTCTCAACAAGTCAGCCGTCTCCCACCTAGGCAGGGTGACCCAAAAAGAAAGAAAATCCCAAAAAAGAAAATACTTTCATCGTCATTCAATACTTTCACCTCACTCATACATAATCACTGTTGTTGCAGAGGTGCCCAGATATAACCGTTTAGAAGCATATATAACATTTTCTTCCAAACTGCCAATATCCCAAACCCCTCCTTTAAAGTGCAGGCATTGTACTTCCCATTTCCAGTACTCAAGTCCGGCTATATAAAAATAACCCTTCACTAAATATTACCCTGCTCACACTCCAACAGCTCGTCAGGTCCCAAATACCATTTGTCTCCATTCACCCCTATCTAACACGCTCACGCATGCTTGCTGGAAGTCCAAGCCCCTCCCTCCAACCTTTTTTGAGGATGACCCATACCCCGCCTTCCTTCACCTACAGATTTACATGCTCTCCATGCCATTCTACTTTGATCCATTCTCTCTAAATGACCAAACCACCTCAACAACCCCTCATCAGCCCTCTGACTAATACTTTTATTAACTCCACACCTTCTCCCAATTTCCACACTCTGAATTCTCTGCATAATATTTACACTACATATTACCCTTAGACAGGATATGACCACCTCCTTGCTGCAGCATTTACAACCCAAGCTTCACACCAATAATTTTTACTCTCTCTTTTGTCCCCTTTGCCTTTATTCAAAGGAACTATGCATGATCTCTGCCAATCCCTAGGTACCTTATCCTCTTCCATATATTTTTTTTTTTTTTTTTTTCAACAAGTCGGCCGTCTCCCACCGAGGCAGGGTGACCCAAAAAAGAAAGAAAATCCCCAAAAAGAAAATACTTTCATCATCATTCAACACTTTCACCACACTCGCACATTATCACTGTTTTTGCAGAGGTGCTCAGAATACAACAGTCTAGAAGCATACACATATAAAGATACACAACATATCCCTCCAAACTGCCAATATCCATATATTTATTAAATAAAAATACTAACCACTCCAAAACTGTATCCCCACCTGCTTTTAATATTTCTCTTTGTCCCATCAATCCCAGCTGCTTTACCTCCATTCTACCCATTGCCTCATGAACTTTGCCCCCACACTTGCAACTGGTTCTCCCTCACTCCTATAAGATGTTATTCCTCCTTGGCAAGTACACGAAATCACAACTTCCCTATCTTCAACATTTAACAATTCCTCAAAATATTCTGTCCATCTGATACCTCCAACTCTCCTTTCTGTTTGCTGTTTCCTATTTCTTTTATAAAAGTAAATTTTAAGTCTACCTGTTAAGGGAAAATACATTTTTACTAGTATTTTGATCATAATTTTAACCACTTTTCACATTATATTACAGAAAATATTTTCTGTAATTTTATGGTTAAATATATATATTAATTTTGTTTTGTTTATTTGTTCACAGTTTATGCCTGGCCATGTGTATCACTTTGCAGTAAGAGCAGTGGATATCAAAAGTCGGTTGGGACCATTTTCTGAACCTCGAAGTATCAGTCTGGACAAGAAATAAGTCAGTCCTCATTATGTCTTAAGCTTCGTCAACCTAGATTCTTCAAAACTTAAAAAAAAATTCTCTTGTATTCGCTACCTTGATTTTAAAGTAATTTTCTCGCATTTGTATCACATGTTGCAAACAATTTGATGTCATTTGTAAATTAAAAAGTAAAGTTATTACTTGTTAATATAATTTATTTGATTTTGAAACCAAAGGAACTAAATGCCACAAAAAGTAACTTGTGTATATTATATATGATTCAGAGCTTGTTTGTTAAAGTACAGCCTGTCCTCACTTAACAACGGAGTTTCGTTCCTAGGACCATGCCGTTAACCAAATTCGTCGCTTAGTGAGGAGCATACTATAATGGTAGTGAGTGTGTCAACCATTTTTGATATTGTTTTAATGTCACTTTTGCACCATTTATAACATTTCTGGCATACAGTGGACCCTCATTTTTTGTGATTAATCCGATCCAGAGAGTCTGCTGAAAGTCAAAATTCATGAATGGCAAAACCATTTTCCCGATAAGAAATAATGGAAATACAATTAATCCGTTCCAGAAACCCAAAAATAAAAAAAAAATAAAAAAAAAATTCAAATTAAATAAAGATTTACATACAGAAAACAATGAAAAGTCAAGTACATAAATATGTAAAATAATATTACACTCACCTTTACTATATCAATTACTCAGATATGGTAAACATGAGGAAATTAAATCTTCATCAGAGTACAAAACAAATTCTGGCCACAAAATAGAGCGAAACACCAACGTCAAAGACCTGGGAGTGATCATGTCGGAGGATCTCACCTTCAAGGACCATAACATTGTATCAATCGCATCTGCTAGAAAAATGACAGGATGGATAATGAGAACCTTCAAAACTAGGGAGGCCAAGCCCATGATGACACTCTTCAGGTCACTTGTTCTATCTAGGCTGGAATATTGCTGCACACTAACAGCACCTTTCAAGGCAGGTGAAATTGCCGACCTAGAAAATGTACAGAGAACTTTCACGGCGCGCATAACGGAGATAAAACACCTCAATTATTGGGAGCGCTTGAGGTTCCTAAACCTGTATTCCCTGGAACGCAGGAGGGAGAAATACATGATTATATACACCTGGAAAATCCTAGAGGGACTAGTACCGAACTTGCACACGAAAATCACTCACTACGAAAGCAAAAGACTTGGCAGACGATGCACCATCCCCCCAATGAAAAGCAGGGGTATCACTAGCACGTTAAGAGACCATACAGTAAGTGTCAGGGGCCCGAGACTGTTCAACTGCCTCCCAGCACACATAAGGGGGATTACCAACAGACCCCTGGCAGTCTTCAAGCTGGCACTGGACAAGCACCTAAAGTCAGTTCCTGATCAGCCGGGCTGTGGCTCGTACGTTGGTTTACGTGCAGCCAGCAGCAACAGCCTGGTTGATCAGGCTCTGATCCACCAGGAGGCCTGGTCACAGACCGGGCCGCGGGGGGCGTTGACCCCCGGAACTCTCTCCAGGTAAACTCCAGGTATTGAAGACTTTTGGGTGATAGAAAATGGGAGGAGGGGAGAGGATGAAGGTACACTCTTGTTTGTAAGGGGAATCCCCTTTCATAAAGACTTCGAATACCAAGTCCTTTCCCAGGGTTACTTCCCTTTGTTTCTTAATGGCACTGGAACCAGCTTGTCACTGGACCCCTGTCATACAAAATTTCTGTCCAGAGAACTCTGTTTCTGGTGTTTCTTTAAAACGTCCCTAAAACAGCACACAACATTGTTATTGTACGTATTGCCAGTACGGCCTGCAACAGCTTTGTCAGGGTGAAGTTCATCCATAAATGTTTGCACCTTTGTCCACATTGCACAAATGTCCTTAATCTTTGAAGAAGGAACCTTCCTCCATCTCTCTTCCTCCTCCTCTAAAGCAGTTTCCTGAGCTGTGGTCTGTTGCTATTGCAGATGGTCTTGCAGCTCTGTAGTGGTTAGATCTTCATCATGGTCCTCTACCAACTCTTCCACATCCTCGAAACTCGCATCCAACCCCATGGAATTCCCAATGCCACAATACTTTCCACAACTGGCATAGGCTCCTCAGGGTTAGTCCCAAACCATTTAAAATCCTCCCTGGAGGTCACTCCTTCCCATGCCTTACCTATAAGGTTTATGCAATGGAGGATATTGAAGTGATCTTTCCAGAACTCTCTTAGGGTCAATTCAGTGTCTGAGGTCACTTCAAATCACTTTTGAAACTGCTTTGGTGTACAGTTTTTTGAAGTTTGAAATGACCTGCTGGTCCATGGGCTGGAGGTGAGGAGTGGTATTAGGGAGGCAAGAACTTTACTGTGATGAAACGAAACTCCTGCACCATTTGCTTTTCCAAGAAAGGAAGAACACTGCAGCAGGCCTGTTGGCCCATTCTAGGCAGGTCCTTAACAAAGGAAATGACACGAGCAGGAGCATTGTCCATTACCAGGAGGCACTCGAGTTCCAATTTATTTTCCAGGAGGTATGTCTTCACACTAGAGTCAAACACTTCATTGAACCAATCAAGGAAAATGTCCCTCGTGACCCATGCCTTACTGTTAGCCTTCCACATAACACACAAATTAGCCTTGGCAACACTGAAAATCCCAGTTTTCAAGAAAAACAGTGTTATACACCAGTAAAGGCTTCAGTTTGAAATCCCCACTAGCATTACTACAAAATATGAGAGTTAGCCTGTCTTTCATAGGCTTGTGTCCTGACAGTGCTGTTTCCTCCTGCATGATGTAGGTCCTCTCAGGCCTGTTTCATCACAAATGAACACTTGTTGGGGTTTGAATTGTTCAGTCTCGGTACCCCTTGAACTCCTGAACATACTTTTCAGCCGCTTTTTTGTCAGCACTCGCAGCCTCGCCATACCTTCCCACACTGTGTATGCCATGATGCTTCTTAAATCTCTCAAACCAGCCTTTGCTGGCCTTAAAATCACAAACATCAGCACTTGTTGCAACTGCCTTGCCTTTTCACAAATTATCGACTTCATAACACTATCTCCTGCTAACTGCTTTTGGGTAATCCACACCAACAGTAACCTCTCCACTTCTTCAAGGATTTGCGATCTCTTTTTTTTTGTCAGCGTATCTACCCCTTTTGCAACAACAGCTTCCTTGATTTCTTTTCCCTTCACCACGATCGAAGTGATAGTTGAATGAGGTTTGCCATACATCCTGGCAAGCTCTGAAACACGCATTCCACTTCCATATTTTTCAGTGATTTCTTCAGTTCAATCGTGTTTCTTACTTTCTTTACCAAAGGGCTGGCACTAACTTTCTTAGGACCCATGGTGACTTATTTAGCAGTTGGAAGCACAAAAAAGAATGGAATATTACAAAATGTATCGTATGCATGCATGGGATGATGGCCACTCGTTGGTAAACAATGGCACACCGAGTGTGAATGGTACGGGAGACTGGCTCTGTGTGTGCTGACGCTGGACGTGTACCAGATGATCGCCGAATCACGAACCATGAGGCTATATCTTGCCGAAAAAAGTTACCGAAAGTCGGATTTCACGAGTCGTGGTCGCCGAAATGTGGGGGTTCACTGTATTTTTAAATGTTTATCCAGTAGTGTACTGTATATTGAAATAAACAGAACAGAGGAAATCAGCTCTAATATACATTATTTAGGCATGAATACTGGTCAGAGAGCCCTTTGTAAGTCTAAGACATCAGTCAACAAGTATGTCGCTAAGTGAGGAGAGGCTGTACTTTAAATTGGAATCTTATCATAATACATGAGGAAGCTATAAACTTTTAAGGATCACACAGCGCCTGCTAAATGACCAGTAATTGTTTGGTCCAAGGAAGGAAAAGATTGTGCCATTTCCTTGGATCAGGATCCTTTTACCAGCATCAAGGCATCCTTGGAAAGGTTGATTGGAAATGCAGCTACATAATCTAAACTGGGATGTCTTGTGTCAAGGAAGGCCCTCCACACATCCCTTTTTTTTTTTTATATAGTGTATAATTTTAATGGTTAGCAAGATGAACATCTTTCTGGAATAGAATTTTGCTTGAGCGTTGCAACAGCCATATGGTAATTAATGCTCGACACTTGGCAGGTGACAAGCACGTAACACTGGCACTTCACAACAGGCCACTGTTGGCTGTTGTCATTATTCCATTTATGGATTTTTTTTTTTTTTGTTCATAATGTTTTTTTTCAACTGGTCAGTGAATCCATATGGGGTAGTCTAAGAGATATGCCTACCTAATAAACATTTTATCACAAGGATATTCATAAATTCATTCATCGACATTTAAAGCTTCATGACTTGTACAGTAAATGCTCATTGTACTTAAACTTCATCATTCAGACATAATTAAAATTCATATATTGTACAAAATATTTAGTATAAGATTTTTTCCTGAAGTCTTGACTTGAACTTTTTGTGTAGCAACAGTCTCATTTTTTAAGTTTGTAAATGATATTGATGTGTTTTGATGCTTATATCTTAAATAATATTAAATGTTGTTAGTAAAAGTTCACTATTTATCATATTTGTTTCACTTTCATCCCCTTTCCCCCCATCTCCTGTAATGGTACCACCTAGATAGGATGGAAAATGTTTAGATATCTTTAGCCTCTGGTATAATGGCAAATTTACTCTGGATGGCTTATTAAGCTGGACCAGTAAAAACTCGCTTATTAATGTGTAACCTGGAGTTTTTTCCCCCCCTTGGTGCTAAGACATTGCAAGGTTATTAGTACAGCTTGTGCTTGAACACTTCCTATCTCATTCTTGTGCTTATGCAGTGTACACCGATGATTCTAAGTCTCCCGATGGTGTTGGGTGTGCTGCAGTTTTTTGTGCAAGAATTATCTAAGGCCATTTACAAGAATTGGGCAGTCTTCTCATGTTAAATTTATGTGCAACACTCGAATACAGTGTGTCCATGTCTGCCTTATCATCTGTGGTCGTTTCAGACTCCCAAAGTGTGTTACAGGCTATATGGAAATTAGATCCCTTATCCCATTGTCCTTCATATACAGTTTTGGTTATGTTGCAAATCTAGTGGACAGAAAATAGTCACTTTTTGCCGAGACCCTGGATACTATGTTAGGAATAATGAGCTAGCTATTCACGACCTACTGATTTTCCCATGGGTATTACTTTCTCAAGACTATTTGTCAGTGGTCATAATGTTTGTAGAATTACCAACTATGTTAGTTGCATCTGTCCTTTTACTTAACATATACCCCTCAAGGAAGGTTCCTTGATGTTGGTGAGGGGCTCTTGATTTAGGGAATTGGATCTGTGCTCCAGTTCCCCGAATTAAGCCTGAATGCCTTCCACATCCCCCCCCCCCACCAGGCGCTGTATAATCCTCCGGGTTTAGCGCTTCCCCCTTGATTATAATAATAATAATAATACTTAACATATTTCTCAATGGTCTCATTTAGAACTGCTGGCAACACTGGACTGCAAATTTTTTATCAAACCATAATTTTGGATTCCGGCCATCTTCCCACCCCTTTCAGTTTAGGAGACTGAATTTTCATGGTTACATATTGGATATGTGCAACTTGCTAACAGGTACTACATGGAGAAACAACTGGAAACTAACCTACTGCACCAACTTTTACATACCACTGCCCTCCGCTCATTCCTAACCTATGCAAAATCCTCCCTGCAGCACTGTATAATCCTTGTGTGTTTTGTACTTACGTAATAATGTTAATATATAGTATTATATTCCCCTTCAAAGGGGTCTTGATCTGAGCTTTTATTGACAGTACTGCCAGTAGTTGTCACCTCACCTGGTGGAAATTAAATCTTGTGGTATGTCAGGTTACCCTCCATTAGATGGACATCTGACAGGGCCTCTGATGGTGGACATATCACCAGAAGTTCCCTGCATACCTAGGAGTAGGATATGACTGCTGTTCATTCTGGCTTACCTACTGTTATTACCTGAAAGATGATTGTCCTGTTAGTGCTTTTCTGTAATCAGGTGGTTTTGCTAGCCTAGCAAAATCACCTGATTAGAGGAGAGCTGGTCTGCAATGGCTTATATAACCTCCCTTTCCTTCTATACCACATTCCTGGGCCTCCTATTAAAAACACTTGCATTTCCTCATCTTAAGCTATTGTAGACTGTCCAGGCAGTGTGGTGTCAGTATCCACCTTGGCAGCCATGACCATGTCCCATCTATGCCAAGTGTCCACGCACTGTGGTGTTACAGTATCCATCTTGGCAGCCCTGACCATGCCCTGAGCCCAGAAACCAGCAACCATACACTTCCAAGTAAACTTGTATAAATTCAAGGACTATAATATTAGATACTGACTTTTAGCATTTAAACAAAAGGAAAAATACATCTCTCATCAGAAACATTGTTTAGGGTTGGTATGTGGTTTTAATTTATTTTTGAAGCTGTCCCCCCTCCCCCCCTTTTTTTTTGTCCCGTAATGAGACAATGACTTATTCTCCTGGAGTCCAAGTTACAATACACGTTGCCATGGCCATGGATCCTCCCGAGAACTCAGAATTACTTTTGGGAAATCATCTGTTACTTGAACCCAGTACATAATTCTACGTACCACTAACCTGTTGCCTACCTTTGTATGAAGCAATTTTGCACAGATACACTTTTTATGAGGGGTACATCTTATGACAAGAATAAAACAATATAAAAATTTTATGTTCATTCTAGTACAATGTTGAATGATGCAACTTAAACCCTATAAAAAGCCTTCTACATCACATCAACATGGGGTATTTCCTTTAGTCAGAATGCATTCGAGACCAGCCGAGATTGTCAATATGTGACAGCATAAAAAAAAAAAAACGAACATACATGTAACTGTCTTGCCTCTAAGCATTCGTCTTTTTCATGGTCTTATAAAGACATATTTGGATGGTCAAAAGTTGAGTTAAAAAAAACTCAATAATTCTACTTGCTGAATAGCCATCTCGAAGGTATTGCACAAATGCATAGTACTGCCTTGATATGTTGCTCATGCTTTATATAAACCTGAATTTGGCCATTTTTAAACCTCTAGCTAACTGGTGATGAAACTACAAAATACTGATCACATCTGTGTTTGTCACAGTGAATATAAATATACATAAGCTTTGATGCCAAAAAAAAAAAAAATGTGTAAACAGTAAATCAGTATAAAAGCACTAGTATAAGAAAGATATATTGTAGGCAATGCAGTACAGTACTATAATTGATAAATCTGCATTAAGAGCAATTAAGGAGTCAAAAATTAAATCAAGAGATCTACAATGGACACTTGCTATCCTCACACTGATTAACATAAAATATGCACTGCATATTTTTATTACTCATTATGTTGTTATGTGTACAAAAACTATAAAATGCAATAGAGTCCATAGTCAGCAAATCGCTTGTTACTTTATTTCTGATCTAAGAACATAAATGCCTCTCACATCATACACAACACACATTGTGCTAAGTGAAAGGCATACAATGAGAACTACTGTATTACAGTAACATTTTACATAATAAAAATAGTATATAGACATATACAGACTAACTTTGTGCTCATCTGCTGCTTAGTTTTGAGCAACACACCATGGACTTGATCACTCCTCTGCAAACAAGCTGGGAAGACAGGTTGAAAAAGCATAAAAAGCATAAGTTTAAATTACCTATTCAGCTCGAGTGGGCAAGATTCAAACTCGTGTCAAGACAGTCATAAAATTAGCAGCAGGTTAGAGCACCTGGCCTGTTACTTTTAGAACTGACTTGCCATGGATTCAAGTCATGCCCATTCCCCAAGTTTTTTCCAATCGTGTTACAATTTTTGTCAATCATTATGTTACCTATTATCAATTTTGATAATCTATTATCATTTTTGAAGAAATTGATAAACCAGCAAATTTGCCACTACAGCGTCTCCATGTGAGCCAAATTTGTTTCCTATAGAAATAAAATGTCTTGAATAATCAATATCCATTCTATGTACAGTACAGTACAGTGGACCCCCGCATAACGATCAGCTCCCAACTCGACCAATTATGTAAGTGTATTTTTGTAGGTGCTTTTGTAAGTGTATTTTTGGGGGTCTGAAACGGACTAATGTAATTCACAATATCTCTTATGGGAACAAATTCGGTCTATAACGGCACCCAAACAGACTTCTGGATTGAAATAATATCGTTATGCGGGGGTCCACTGTACTTACCTCTGTGTGTGTGTGTGTGTATTTGTTTGTTTGTTTTTGTATACACATACATTTACAAATGCACACACAGTGAAAGAAAGCAAAGAGTGACTGTCAGGAGAGACATCAAATGGGGAAAGTGTAACAAATGGGGTTCTGTAAGGATTGAGACTAGAACCGGTAATGCTTTTGAGTTATGTGAATGACATTCCAGATTGGATTAAGCTAGAGATGTCCTTGTTTGGTGATGTAAAACTGATGAAAACAGAAACATGAGGACAAGGCTCCAAAGGAGTCTGGAAAAATTGCACGAGTAGTCAGATAAGTCGTTGCTTGAATTCAACACCCTCCCCCCCCCCCAGTAAATGCAAGGCCATGAAGATTGGAGGAGCAAGACCTGAGGAAGGGGCTGCAAATTTCACTCAGAGACAAATACCTAAGGGTGAGCATAATGCCCAGTGTGTTGCCACTCGCACCAGTTGAGTATCCTCTGCAGCCAATGCATAATTCAGAGAGCTAAGGAGGGTTTATTGAGGTGGTTTGGACATGTAGAAAGGATAGACAGGGATAAGATGACAAAGAGTGTATAAATCTGGGGGTGGAAAGTAGGAGGGGTTGGGGTCATCCCAGAAATGAGTTGGAGGAATGGGGTAAGATAAGTTTTGATTTCTATGGGCTTGAGTATTTAACAGGCTTGCAAATCACATTAGATAGTAAATGGAGACAAGTAGTTTTTTCATGGATGTGTTGTTGAAGTGCAGGTAAGAACACATTTATGAAGGAATTCAAGGAAACTGGTTCGCTGGACTTGGGTCATGGAGGTGGGAAGGGCAGTGCCTGCACTGTGGAGAAGGGATGGGGATGTGACAGTCAGAGGGTAATCTGATTGTGATAACACACTTCTGGAAAGAATGATGGTGAATGAGTTTTCTTTTTTGGATATCCCTACCCTAGTGGAAGATGGCTACTGAGCTGAAATAAAGAACAGACACACACACACATACACATAAGGAGCTATGACTCGACCCCTGCAACTGCAAATAGGTGAGTACATGCTCACATGCACGTGCACACACACACACACACACACACACACAGACTATTACTACACACAGAGGAAAATAATTTTATATTGAGTATTACTTTTGGCTTGCAAACATAGTAATAACATTTAGAAAACTGGAAGAAACTTATAGAAATGATTAAAGTTGAAACATTTAGATGCAGAGTAAACCCTCAATTTAACAGAGCTCAATTTAGAGGCTCTTGGAGAGACAGGACACAATCTGCTGAGGCGATTCATTCAGAAAAAAAGCCCACTGGTTACTGAAATATTGCTAACTTTTTCTCCCTTACCACTCATCATTCCACCAATTGCTTCTCTTCCCTCCTGTACCCACCCTTCTATATCTACATACACACTACAATCTTAAATCTGCATTTTATTCTTAAATCTGTTATTTCTTTTATCCATGACAATTACCATTATTGACCGCCCACTTCCTCTTATTCTGGGTAGCTCATTAAGCCCAGGGTTTACTATAATTAAGTGTTTTATTTCTATAATAAAAAATAAACTTAAGCAACATTTTTAGTCAAAATAATGTTTTATACATTAACTTTTAAATTTAATTAGTTAGCAACAGAGTAATTAATTATACAGTACGTATGTGTATATTCAACTTACCAGACACTTTCCATCTTTTCTCCACATGTTGTAATCTGATGACCTTGATCAAATTATTAATGGATAATCACACAAATAAATATATATATATAGAACACCTGTAAATACAAAAAAAAAATTAATATCTCAAAAATAAAGCATTGTCACAACCCTATTCCACAAATATAGAAGTTCCTCTAAGGATACTTCCAGATATCACTCTTGCACAATAATATGGGTGTTTAGGTATGTAATATATCTGGGAAAGCGACCTGCTTTCTCACATAGCAAATAAGGTATACTTCACTTCAGAATCAGACGGTAATAGTTTTCATCCTTGCAAGTGGTCAAGATGAACAATTAATAAGAGCCAGGAAGACTTGCTATACATCTTCGCCAAGTGAAGTTGAGTAACTAGTACCTAATCTGAATCAATTTGTACTAAGAGACCATTAGTCTCTCTCTTATTATGGGTCTAATCTTAATCTAATGTGGCACAAAAATCAACCTGACCACGAAGGTCATTTGAAAGGTCCAGTCATTCTGTTAGTTCTCAAGTAATTAGAGAGATTCTTGAAACATTAGGAACACCTTCCCTTAAGTGTGGCTGTCCATACGATTATTTACAGAATGCATTACTCTAGTATAAACTTCAAAATTGCTATCACAGGACAAACAGTGTGGTTACTCTGGACCCCATCATCACTCAATGCCAGTCATTATAATACATTTTGTATATTTAAAGTTTGCAACTATAAATATGGCATGAAAAAAATCACAGAATTGATAACAAGAAATATTCTGCACATAGTTTTTAAGTGTCGATGGCAATAAAAAACTACAGTCTGCAGCCAAAGTACCCACTCTACTTTAAAACCTATTAAAATTAGTCTATATGAAAGTAGAGAGCAAGAGGCTAGTAACCCCATCTGTATAAATTACTAAATGCAAAAAGAAGAAAAACTTTATAAAGTTTTCTTCCTTTCTAGGTCACCTTGCCTTGGTGGGAGATGGCCGGTGCATTAAAAACAACTAAATGAAAATAATGGGGAAACTTACAAATATGTAGGCACAAATATCAATGTAATTTTTATGCTGAAGCTCGCATGGCAAGAGAAACAAAAATTAAAGGACAAAAAAAGCACAATACCGTGACTGGAACAATACACAAATAACTCGTACATAAGTGAGAGGAGCTTACGACAACATTTTGGTACGACTTGGACCATTTACAGTCACACTAGAAAATAAAAATTAAATTCATGTCATGGCAGCTGAGTTGCCAACTTCTTGACCTGAATACAATAGAAAGACATATTGAAATAAAGCCCCTCCTCACTTAACGATGGAGTTCTGTTCTAGGACCACGTCGGTAAACGAATTTATCACAAAGTGAGGAGCATACTATAATGGTAGTGAGTTTGTGTCAACCATCTTTCATATTGTTGTAATGTCACCTTTGTACCATTTATAACATTTTTGGTATATTTTTAAATGTTTATACAGTAGTTTACTGTATATTGTAATAAACAGAATAGAGGAAATCAGATCTAATATACATTATTTAGGTATGAATACTGGTCAGAGAGCCCATCGTAAGTCCGAGGTGTTGGTAAACGAGTATGTCACTAAGTGAGGAGAGGCTGTATACTGAACCTTCAAGCCACTGAAATCAATGGTTTGACTTGAATTCAGTACCAATAGGTTCTGGATAACTGAGTCAAGCAATACTATTTCATGATAAGACATGTTTACTTCATAGACTTCATATGTAGTATCATTTGTTATCTAAGATAGCAGTCCTAGTTAGAATAGAATCATTATCTTACCTGAAAGTACATTAGAGCAACCAATCACAATATTATCACTGACAAACATACGTCCCTGCAAATGCTCAACATGTCTCATACAGTCGTCTGTACAAATTACGAGTTATGTTCCTTGAGGTCCCATTAAAACAAAGACCATGAATAATACAAAATTAAGTTTACCTGGAGGGAGTTCTGGGGTTCAATGCCCCAGTGACCTAGTCCATGACCAAGCCTCGTGGTGGATCAAGGCCTGGTCAACCAGGCTGTTTCTGCCAGCCATACTAAAAAAATATAAAATCTGGGTTCCTTATATTTCAGAGAGCATATCTCTGTAATACTGCATATTGCTTTAATCCAGTTAATATTGACATCCGTAAGAAATACTAAGAATAGAGATATTTGGATGTACGGAGGTAGTTTTGAAGTATGAGACTGCTTTGAATGTGTATAACTGTAGATCATTCAATGCTCTTGGTAATATAAAATGAGTATAGCACACAAGAAAAAAACAATGAAATAAACAAACAATAAAAACTACTATCATAAACAAAACACAACTGTCACACCAACTTAAAATATCCAGAATTGTTAAAAACCCTATTAAAAATGTCTGTTAAAAGAGACTCCAGAAAGTTTACCAAGATTCCTACAAGCACTCTGGTAATTATAAACAACCATGAAAGCAGAAAGACCTAAGTCGTGGGCAGTTATAAGGTGCTCCACAGTCCACAAGCTACACAAAAGGGGACAGGAACCCCTGAAAATATGTGGCTTTAAGTGAGGTGCATGTGCCCGATCTTTAACCGACAGATTTATCTTAAAGTGATGATTGCGGCTATGTTGGATAATTGAACCTATTTACTGGTTTCCCATCAATAAAAACATTGTAATGATTGCAGCTGCACTGGATAACTGAACCTATTCATTGGTTGCCTGCCCATCAATAAAAACAGTGTGATAATCAAGCACAATAAAAGAGAAGCCCAAGAATTTGTAGGGACGACTGTATAACATTTAGGTTTAGCCAAAGAGAAAATGCTCTGGCAAAATACCATTACAATAAGCCCACATGTACATAGCATTCTTCTGACTATATTCTATACATTGGACCTAGCATTATATTGTCACCCAATAAGAACCTCACAGTCAAACACACAAACTTAGGATACAACTTTTGTATGATATAGTACAATATGTACTGACAAGTAGATGAATAAGACACATGCAACAGTTGGGAATCTATTTCTGAAATGTTTTGCCTTTATGGTAGGGTTCTTCAGTCAAATACAGAGTAGACTATAGAGACAGTAAAAGCAGTGAAGAGGTCAAGATGACATGATCAGCCTTGAACACTGTTGAAGATTATGGAGCTGACCACCTCTCATGACTGAGGAACTGACCACCTCTCAGGACTGAGGAACTGACCAGCTCTCAGGGCTGAGGGACTGACCAGCTCTCAAGGCTGAGGGACTGACCAGCTCTCAGGGCTGAGGAACTGACGACCTCAACACTACATCATCTTTATCTAATCCACTGCCTCTGTTCTCTCTAATTTCCTCTGTACAGTGGACCCCAGCCTTACGATATTAATCCGTTCCTGAGAGCTCATCGTAAGCCGAAATTATCATTAGCCGAATTAATTTTCCCCATAAGAAATAATGGAAATCAAATTAATCCGTTCCCGACACCCCAAAGTATGAAAAAAACTTTTTTACCACATGAAATATTAATTTTAATACACACAAACTGAAGAAGACATGCACAATTACTACTCTACTAAGAACAGAATACATGACACTTACCTTTATTGAAGATCTGGTGATGACTGATGGGATGGGAAGAGGAGAGAGTGTAGAAGTTATTGTTTAGAAGGGGAATCCCCTTCCATTAGGACTTGAGGTGTCAAGTCCTTTTCTGGGGTTACTTCCCTACTTCTTTTAATGCCACTAGGACCAGCTTGAGAGTCACTGGACCTCTGTCGCACAACAAATCTGTCCATAGAGCTCTGTACCTCCCGTTCCTTTAAGACTTTCCTAAAATGGGCCATAACATTATCATTGTACAGGTTGCCAACATGGCTTGCAGTAGCTGTGTCAGGGGAATTTTCATCTGTAAAGGTTTGCAGTTCAACCCACTTTGCACACATTTCCTTAATCTCTTTTTTCAATTCCGTACTAATTCTTGCCCTTTTTACCACAGGGATGGCACTAGAAGCTTTTTTGGGGTCCAAAGTGACTTATTTTGCAGTTACAAGCACTAAAAACACTGGGATAATGTGAAATGTACCGAATGTATGCGTAGATGCGACCGCAGTGGCTGGCTTGTAAACACTGGCGCTGAGGCCACACATGGGACGCGTCCCGGACGAATCACGTAAGGCAAGCTTTTTATCGTGAGGCGAGGCAAAATTTTTGCGTTCAAATGCTTCGTATGACGGATTTAATGTAACGCGATGCGTTTGTAAGGCGGGGGTCCACTGTATTGAACTGAAGAAATCTGTGTAGGCAAAATAATTCACAAATCAAGATACTTAACTGTTGCACATGAACTTTACTTATCTATAACTTTTATGTAAGATTCTTAGGGTTAAAGTTGCCCTAATCTGTAAATTAGGAAAATAACTTTTTATTTTAATGTGTTAAAATTAAATAGAACTAAAAAATACTGCATCATTCACCTTTTATTCTTTTTAAAGCAAAAAGTATCTAATGATAAAATCAAATTCTTCTTTACAGTACAAAAATGCTTAAGTCTATGGAATGTTCAGTGGAAAACACAACTCTATTGCTATAATCTCAAGTTAAAGGACCATTTGATGTCCATCACACAAAGATCTGAGTCATTATCAAGAGCTGAAAGTCAATAGGAAATTATTAAATTCATTTTGAAGAGCTGAACCCAGAGGGGTTATACAGTGCCTGAAGAACAAACAGAAAGGGGGTCATCAGGTTTGATCTGAGGAAGAAAAAAACAGCTCTAACACCTTGAATCAAGAGCCTTCACTAGTGTGAAAGCCTATCTCTCTGAAGGCCGAGCCAATAGGCAAGATTACTAGAAAAGCTATAAATTTTAATTACATGGCACCCATTCTCAGTTATACTTATTTTAAAGGCTTAAAATAACCTATACACAAAGTATTGTAACATCCTTGGCTGAAACAATGCCCTCGCATAATCCCAAGTGAAACGCAATGAAAATTGTCAACACTCAGTTGTAGCTGCCAGAGATAAGTCTAGTTACTGTACTTTGTTGCGGCTGTGCCAAATATCATACACATATCCATTTCTTTGCATGAATGAAGTAAATAACTATTTAGCAAACTTTTCCATTTATGTTCCAACAAAGAGGTTAAATCTGACCTTGACCTGACCTCTAATCCCTTGATTTTGACTTTGAATTAAAAGTAACTTCAGAAATTTATTCTACACAACTTCAAACTCATAAAAGAAAAAGAAAAAAAAAAGTTTAAAAGTTAAATTGTGAAGATGGCAAGCAGTGACCATCTTGGACTCGTGCAACATACCAGAGTTGGTCAAAGATCAAGCTTGAGTAACAAAGCTTAATTTGTTGCTGGACTTCATGGGAGTACAAATCCATCAAGAAATTTCATACTAGACTTAAGAAATGACCAATGAACTCTTTATTCTCACAAATGTATTGCGACCTGATAAAAAGTAAGTGTATTAGAAAAAATATCACCAATAAAGGATTCTATAATATTGCATTTTTCTCTTTCCATCTCTCCTCTATTCAGGAGTATTTAGATATATTCAATGTAATCCTACATATAACAAAGTTCTACTTAGAACAAAATAGTGTTCATGTAACAAACTCACAATGTGGTGGTGGCAACAACTTAAAATAATTCATCTCAGGAGAGAGAAATTATGATGGTGTTTCAGTGTGTCCTAGACCACTGTGTCAAGTCATAACTGACTTGGCAGTGGTTCAGGACAGAAACAATTTTTTAATCATTGCAGGTTTAATGTTTAATTTTATTACAATATTTTCTGTTTAGCGACATCAAAATTGTCATAACTGCGCACCTCTCACAAGATAGTGATAGTGTGAATGATGGTGAAAGTTTCTTTTTCAGGTCACCCTGCCTCAGTGGGAGACGGCCAGCATGTTAAAAAAAAATCCTCTCCATGGGGAAGTGGAAAAGAACCCTCTGTCAGCCATGTGTGTTGCATGAGGCAACTAAAATACCATGAGCAAGGGGCTAGTAACCCTTTCTCCTGTATAAACTACTAAACGTAAAAAGAAAAACTTTGTTTCTTCTTTTAATAATGCCTCTTTTTAGTGCAAATTATTAGTGATTTGTTCCTAATAAAATATTGATCTTTATATTGTAAATTTCCACCCTGCCTCAGTGGGATACGGCCAGTGTGTTGAAAGAGAAAGATATTGTAAATTTATGCACTATAAGTACATGAATGGGTGAGAGTCAGACCTGCCTTGTATGGGCCAGTAGGCCTTCTGCAGTGCTCCTTCTTTCTTTTATGTTTCTTAGTCAACACCTTGCTGTTAGAGTCCCTCACACCACCTCGTCCAAGCACAGCTCTTGTAGTATATTACTGATGCTTCATATCATGCAGCCAATCACTCCTCTTTATTATAAGTTTACTGTCGAAAGTTCTATATTTGTTTAACACGAGGTATACGAGAATGTAAACCAGCAAGTGTATAAAATTTACACGTGCAGCGTTTTAGAAACTTTTATCAGGATACGATTCCCTCACCAGCTTTACCAACTACACTGGATTGATGCTCTTTGTGAGCAAAACATTGGTCTGATAATGCTCCTGGTGAGCAAAACATTGGTCTGATAATGCTCCTGGTGAGCAAAACACTGGTCTAATAATGCTCCTGGTGAGCAAAATATTGGTCTGATAATGCTCCTGGTGAGCAAAACATTGGTCTGATAATGTTGGTCTGATAATGCTCCTGGTGAGCAAAACACTGGTCTGATTAAGCTCCTGGTGAGCAAAACATTGGTCTGATTAAGCTCCTGGTGAGCAAAACGTTCCTTTATAAAGGTTTTCTAGTGCTGTACACGTGTCTATTTTATTTATTTTTTTCACATATCAATGGAAGCTCTCCTAAAATTAAAAACTAATTAGTTTTATCACAGAAAAACTATAAATAGGTGAACATTCTTGAACTTCAATATTCCATTGTTTTATGATGAATTTTCTTCATGACAAATACTGATGAATAACTGAAGTGTAATGAACACTTCTCAATGCTCAATAATAACCCACATGGAAACAAAAAGTCAAAAGATTGATTGATCTGTATACTTGATCCCACAACGGGGATCAAAATACATGAATCAATTAATCTTCTGAGTGTCAGTCTCCAGGTGGGTTATTATTGAGCACAAATATATCGTAGGCAGAGGTCCCCCAAATGCAAGTAAAATTAAGAGGTAAATTAACGATCTGATGGATGATTGTATTAATTAAATTACTGGTGGAAAGTATTTTCTTTCATGCCAGCCATAAAGTATGCTGGAGCCTCTAACATCTTCTGGCAGGATGGAATTTGATTCACATGAGGCGGCGCCATGGATTGGTGAGGTTCGAGGTAATGGCCAGGGAAGTATATATCCCCATTGGGGATATATGCATGAGGAGGCTCCTGCATGGTTGTAGCATGGGCAGGTGGGGGAGGAGGAGTACAGTGAGGATGGATATGGCCCATTGGTGGGGGTGGTGGAGTGTACATTTGCTTGTTCTCCAGTTTGTTTGGTTTCTTCTTTGTAGTGCGAGGTTTCTTGATTTTGTGAGTATTGTAGGTTTCAACATTATGATTGGGGCTCATTTGGTTGGGAGACTTGACTGGTCGTAGGTGTTTTCCACGTCTGTCTGGTTCAGGTACAAGAGCTCCATCCTGTAATATTAATGTTCAAATATTTATTAGGACAGCTCAAACAATGGAAGCTAACATGCTCAAAATACAGCCTCTCTTCACTTAATAACGGGGTTCCATTCTTAAGAGTAGGTTGGTAAGTGAACTGATCGTTAAGTGAGGAGCATACTGTACTGGTAGTGGGTTTGTGTCAACCATCTTTAATATTTTTTTAATGTCACCTTTGCATGATTTATAACATTTCTGGAATATTTTTAAATGTTTATACAGTAGTTTACTGTATATTGTAATAAACAGAATAGAGTAAATCAGTTCTTATATGCATTACAGTGGTCCCTCAATTATTTTTTTTTTATTATCACACTGGCCGATTCCCACCAAGGCAGGGTAGCCCAAAAAAGAAAAACTTTCACCATCATTCACTCCATCACTGTCTTGCCAGAAGGGTGCTTTACACTACAGTTTTTAAACTGCAACATTAACACCCCTCCTTCAGAGTGCAGACACTGTACTTCCCATCTCCAGGACTCAAGTCCGGCCTGCCGGTTTCCCTGAATCCCTTCATAAATGTTACTTTGCTCACACTCCAACAGCACGTCAAGTATTAAAAACCATTTGTCTCCATTCACTCCTATCAAACACGCTCACGCATGCCTGCTGGAAGTCCAAGCCCCTCGCACACAAAACCTCCTTTACCCCCTCCCTCCAACCTTTCCTAGGCCGACCCTTACCCCGCCTTCCTTCCACTACAGACTGATACACTCTTGAAGTCACTCTGTTTCGCTCCATTCTCTCTACATGTCCGAACCACCTCAACAACCCTTCCTCAGCCCTCTGGACAACAGTTTTGGTAATCCCGCACCTCCTCCTAACTTCCAAACTACGAATTCTCTGCATTATATTCACACCACACATTGCCCTCAGACATGACGTCTCCACTGCCTCCAGCCTTCTCCTCGCTGCAACATTCATCACCCATGCTTCACACCCATATAAGAGCGTTGGTAAAACTATACTCTCATACATTCCCCTCTTTGCCTCCAAGGACAAAGTTCTTTGTCTCCACAGACTCCTAAGTGCAACACTCACCCTTTTCCCCTCATCAATTCTATGATTCACCTCATCTTTCATAGACCCATCCGCTGACACATCCACTCCCAAATATCTGAATACATTCACCTCCTCCATACTCTCTCCCTCCAATCTGATATCCTATACATTCCTATACATTCACTTAACATCTCCCAAAATCTCTCTCTCTCCTCTACATTCCTCTCTTCTCCAGGTGCATACACGCTTATTATGACCCACTTTTTGCATCCAACCTTTACTTTAATCCACATAATTCTTGAATTTACACATTCATATTCTCTTTTCTCCTTCCATAACTGATCCTTCAACACTACTGCTACCCCTTCCTTTGCTCTAACTCTCTCAGATACTCCAGATTTAATCCCCACCGAAACTCCCCTACCCCCTTCAGCTTTGTTTCGCTTAGGGCCAGGACATCCAACTTCTTTTCATTCATAACATCAACAATCATCTGTTTCTTGTCATCCGCACTACATCCATGCACATTCAAGCATCCAAGTTTTATAAAGTTTTTCTTCTTCTCTTTTTTAGTAAATGTCTACAGGAGAAGGGGTTACTAGCCCATTGCTCCCGGCATTTTTAGTCGCCTCATATGACACGCATGGCTTACGGAGGAAAGATTCTTTTCCACTTCCCCATGGACAATAGAAGAAATAAAGAAGAACAAGAGCTATTTAGAAAAAGGAGAAAAACCTAGATGTATGTATATATATATGCATGTGCGTGTCTGTGAAGTGTGACCAAAGTGTAAGTAGGAGTAGCAAGATATCCCTGTTATCTAGCGTGTTTATGAGACAGAAAAAGAAAAAGAAACCAGCAACCCTCAATTATCGTCCTTAATCCGTTCCTGGAAGGGGGACTATTATCGAAATAGACGATTTTCGAATCAATTTTCCCCATAAGAAATAATGTAAATCCAATTAATTCATTCCAGACACCCAGAAGTATCAACAAAATTTTTTTTTTTTTTACCTAAAAGATAGATTTACTTGCACAAACGAATGAACATTCAACATGACAGTTACCTTTATTGAAGGCTGTTGTTGATGAATGGAAGACAGGGAGGGGGGGGGGAAGAGAGGTTATTGTTTGGAAGGGAAATCCCCCTCCATAAGGACTCTAGGTCACTTCAGGGTTCACTTCCCTAGCATAAATATAGATTTACATGCAGAAAAGAATGCCAAATAAATGTAAAGCACTAATAAAATGTATAAATGAACATTAGTAATAGGGGTAGTTGAGTGGAACGGTCTGCCTAGTAGGGTGATCGAAGCTATAACATTGGGTAGTTTCAAATTTAGGTTGGATAAATACACGAGTGAGAGGGGTTGGATTTGAGTCAGACTTGCACCTGAGCTTATTGCTTGGGTAGCATTTGTTCTGTTAGAGGGTTGGATTTGTGAAGGACCGGCCTAGTATGGGCCAGCAGGCCTACTGCAGTGTTCCTCCTTTCTTATGTTCTTATCGAAGACTTGTTTGTGTGAGGGAGGGATGGCAAGTTTATTGTTGGAGAATATGACACTAATATCAACTCTACGGCTTATTTATCTATCACAATTCAACTAATATGACATAATAAACAATATTAACCCTTTGACTGTTGCAACCCCCAATCCTGAGGTGTCTCCTGGTGTGGCAAAATTTAAAAAAAAAAAAAAAAAAATTCTTATGAAATGATAGAGAATCTTTTTCCGATTGTAATGACACCAAAAAAACAAAATTTGATGGAAAACTGACGGAATTATGCTCTCGCGAAGTTAGCGACCTCAGCGCTGTTTACAAATCGGCGATTTCACTTTGAGCCCTATTTTCGGCTAATTCCATTGTTCCAGTCACCTAAACTCATAGCTATTTCTTTAGAACTCCATTTTTCTATCGATCGAGTAAAAGAAACTGCCCATTTACCGATTTCAACTACCTAATAATGTGGTCAGAAATTTGCAATTTGGCCAATTTCACGAAAACTAAAAAATATGACAATTTCAAAATAAGGTCCAGAATGAACAATGCAGACATTCCTGGCTCTAAAATAACATTTTCTTTGCTCATCAGTCATGTCTCCAGGCCCCTCTGATATTACTCTTGCTTTCTATTTTGAATTTTTATTCAAACAAAAAATAGAAGACTTACTATTATGCAGACTACTGTAATACTGTAATAATTGTATAAATAACATCAACCCATTCATGACTGCATATTAGAATGGCTAGTTGGACATTTATTGGACAATGGCATCATTTGTTTACTTTTGAACATTGGCAACAATCAAACATTTCCCCTACTTTGAGCTCCATTTCTAGGTTCTTTTTATAGTAAAATCAATCAAAATCACCTCTATTTCTATAATATGTTTTCCATTCTATCAAATGAGACCAAGAAAACGAGAATACAACCATAAATACTATACGAAAATAGACCACAAAGTTGGCATTTTAATTAAAAAAAACAGTCGGTTTTTTTTCTCATTATGCACTGCGTGCTCCAGGATTTTTTTTATATGGTGCACACTGACCACACAGACCCATTCTCTCACATGTGGGCCTACCAGCTTTCTCCTGCTTGATTTGAAGCCGCTAGAATTTATGAGTATATATACGTCAAACACGGTACCTCGTAAGACGTATATATACGGCCGCGACAGTCAAAGGGTTAATAACATAGGAACATGGAATACACTCTAAAATGAATAAAATAAGTCATTACGTATGTCACGAGAGGTGTTGTGCTGTGTTGTTGTTGGATATATAAGGGCCACTGAGAGTAAGCCGTCCATAATGGTGGTGAAGCAGCAGCTGAGGCGGTGGTGTTTTCTGTAGCCCTATATAACTCCAACAACATTGGAGGAGTTGGTAGAATTGCTGAATCATTAAAGAAGGCACCCTCTACTACCATCACTACCACCTTCTACCACTATTACAACTGTTACCACCATCACTACTACCCTACCACCACCACCTTTGTATTTTTCTACAAACTTTTTCATAAATTATGTGTTTCTCACATTCTTTACCAAAGGGCTGGCACTAGAAGCTTTCTTTGGAGCCATGGTAGCTTATTTAGCACTTGCAAGCACTAAAATCAATGGAATATTATGAAACATTTCGTAGGAGCAAGTGAGGGGACCGTCGCTCACTGGTAAACAATGTCACACTGGCTGGGAAGGCAGGCACAGGCGGCTCAGAGCATGAGTACGCGTCCCGGACAAAGGATGATTAGCGAGTTAACAGACCATTTGCAAGCCAACGTTTGGACGAAATAACGGGACTATTTCTGAAATGGACGACTTTCAGGCTGGACGATTATTGAGGGACCACTGTATTTAGGTTTGCATATTGGTTGGAGAGCTGGTTGTAAGTCTGAGTGGTCGGTAAACACGTACGTCGCTAAGTGAGGAAAGGTTGTACTTAAAAATTACTCATAAAGAACACAAAGGTACAATACTGTGAATGGTTGTGTGTTAAAAATTACTCAATACATATTTAAAATACAGCGAAGAATAAAAAGGCACAATACCATGACTGCAACATTACACAAACCACCCACATATGGGAGAAAGAAAGAAATAAGGTGAACAGAAATGTCACTATGTTCCTTTCCCCTATGTGCAGGTTATTTGCATATGTAAAATACAGTAGTACCATATTTCTCTCAAAAGAGCAAGTTAGCAAGATTCACTATGAATAAATCCTGTTTATTTAAACAGGGTTTAAAACCTGGTTCCTTTAAGCCAGTGGATACTTTATCAGTTACAGATCTTCATTTGACTAAGACCACCTGTCAAAAGATATCTGTCCTGTCTTCTGAGGAATAAAACTCCAAAAACAATGTTCTTCAATTATTCCCTTATTCTTGTCCTGTCTCCTGATAAATATAACTCCACCACAGACAGTGTTTTTCAATTCATGCATCCCATATATTGTACATCATGCAGTTTCCTATGGATGTTCTTCGTCTAATAGTAAGAATGGTGACACTCTGAATGCCTATACTTTACTTTCCCTTCCTAGCATGTGCCTTCCTTCCTAACACTTAATATGAGAACCATTAAAAGTTAATAATATATATTTGATAAAATCCCAAATTTGAAGCCTACTATTCATACAACAAACCCAAAGCAACACATCCTCATGAGTAAATGTTATTATATCATGATTGCTCAAGAATTCATGATACTAAAATACAAACATTGGGACTGTACTATCATGCTTCCTCAGTCTGTTTGGTGGCTCTGTTTTCTGTTTGGGTATTAATACAGCTTCATCTGCCTGCATTACTGAAAAAACTAACATTAGCACTAGGAGAACAAGTTACACAAAGAGAAGCCCAGGTTCCTAGCACTGTACAGTACAAACATACTGAATAAACTAACCTTCATCTGGTGAAAGAGTGTTCGAAGTCTCTTATCACTTGTGAGTCCATGAGAGCTCATAAATGCTCTTTTGCAAACTCGTAGATGCTTACCGCTAATACGGACAAAGTACTCAAATGTATTCTGGCGTCGAGATTCTTCTGCAGGCTAAAAAGAAGAAGCAAGGGGGAATATTAAGTGCTGTACAGCATCATGAATCTTAAATGATGTAAGGGTCTGCAACAATTTTATAATATTGCACTTATAAATGTGACATACAGGAACCAAATAAGGTTTTATAAGTACCAAGTAGCAGTACTGTACCAACATGTGTGAGATAAAACTATCCTTGTGCTATTGCTTCCTATACAGCTCATTTGCAAATAGAAAAACCAGGGATGCAACTAATGTGAAAGTTTTGATCACCTGTATTAATATTACTTCACATGAATACAGTATTTTTATATAATATACTCAAAAAATTATCTATATCATAATTTGGGGACCACCTGCATTAATATTACTCCAAATGAGTACAGTCAGGCATCACTTAATGACGGGAATACGTTCTGAGAAATGCACTTTTAGGCAATTTCATTGTTGTGCAAACATTGCAGTGTACTTAAACAAACTTAGATGGTAAAGCCCACTATACACCTAGGCTATATGGTATAGCCTACTGCTCCTAGGCTACAAATCTTAAGGGCCATGATAAACAAAATAACATGAGATTAAATCAAGCACAAGGAAAAAATTCTGCAATCAAAAACTGCTGTAAACACCACAGGGCATACTGTTTACAGGAAACTTTTTTTTATAAGTAGAAAGAGTACACTCTAAAATAATGATAAAAAGTACAGAATAGTAAATACATAAACAGTAACGCAGTAATGTGTAACATTATGACAGTTATGATGTCACAAGGCAACAGGAATTTTTCAGTGCCATTATAATCTTATGGGACCACCATCATATATATGGTCCATCATTGACCAAAACATCATTTTGCACCACATGACAATAGTATTTTTATATAATATACTGAAAACTACTATCTATTTTTTTTATGATGAGGTAAAATTGTGTGACCAGTGGTTGATAGAAATAAGATACTCTTGTGTACCCAGTTTATATGAAATTCCTTACAAGGACCCCAGTGGAAATGAGTCACTCTGACTTTTTGGGTTATCCTAGGTTGGTAGACAGCAACCGCCCAGGGAGGTACTACCGTCCTGCCAAGTGAGTGTAAAACGAAAGCCTGTATTTGTTTTACATGATGGTAGGATTGCTGGTGTCTTTTTTCTGTCTCATAAATATGCAAGATTACAGGTATGTCTTGCTACTTCTACTTACACTTAGGTCACACTACACATACATGTACACATTTATTTATACACACTCATCTGAGTTTTCTTTGATTTTATCTTAATAGTTCTTGGTCTTATTACTTTTCCTTTTATATCCATGGGGAAGTGGAATAAGAATCTTTCCTCCGTAAGCCATGCGTGTTGAAAAGTCAACTAAAATGCCGTGAACAATGGGCTAGTAACCCCTTTTCCTGTAAAGATTACTAAAAAGAATAAGAAGAAGAAAATTGTCAAAGTGGGAAGTCTGAATGTGCGTGGATGTTGTGCAAATGATAAGAAAGAGATGATTGTGGATGTTATGAATGAGAAGAAGCTGGATGTCCTGGCTTTAAGTGAAACAAAGCTGAAGGGGGTGGGAGAGTTTCAATGGAGAGGAATAAATGGGATTAGGTCAGGGGTTTCAAATAGAGTTAGAGCTAAAGAAGGAGTAGCAATAATGCTGAAGGATAAGCTATGGCAGGAAAAGAGGGACTATAAATATATTAATTCAAGGATTATGTGGAGTAAAATAAAGATTGGATGTGAAAAGTGGGTTATAATAAGCGTGTATGCACCTGGAGAAGAGAGAAGTGTAGAGGAGAGAGAGAGATTTTGGGAAATGTTGAGTGAATGCATGGGGAGTTTTGAATCAAGTGTGAGAGTAATGGTGGTTGGGGATTTCAATGCTAAACTGGGTAAAAATGTTATGGAGGGAGTAGTAGGTAAATTTGGGGTGCCAGGGGTAAATGTGAATGGGGAGCCTTTAATTGAGCTATGTGTAGAAAGAGATTTGGTAATAAGTAATACATATTTTATGAAAAAGAGGATAAATAAATATACAAGGTATGATGTAGCACATAATGAAAGTAGTTTATTAGATTATGTATTGGTGGATAAAAGGTTGATGGGTAGGCTCCAGGATGTACATGTTTATAGAGGGGCAACTGATATATCGGATCATTATTTAGTTGTAGCTACAGTTAGAGTAAGAGGTAAATGGGAAAAGAGGAAGGTGGCAACAACAAGTAAGAGTGAGGTAAAAGTGTATAAACTAAGGGAGGAGGAAGTTCGGGTGAGATATAAGCGACTATTGGCAGAAAGGTGGGCTAGTGCAAAGATGAGTAGTGGGGGGGGTTGAAGAGGGTTGGAATAGTTTAAAAAATGCAGTATTAGAATGTGGGGCAAAAGTTTGTGGTTATAGGAGGGTGGGGGCAGGAGGAAAGAGGAGTGATTGGTGGAATGATGAAGTAAAGGGTGTGATAAAAGAGAAAAAGGTAGCTTATGAGAGGTTTTTACAAAGCAGAAGTGTTATAAGAAGAGCAGAGTATATGGAGAGTAAAAGAAAGGTAAAGAGAGTGGTGAGAGAGTGCAAAAGGAGAGCAGATGATAGAGTGGGAGAGGCACTGTCAAGAAATTTTAATGAAAATAAGAAAAAATTTTGGAGTGAGTTAAACAAGTTAAGAAAGCCTAGGGAAAGTATGGTTTTTTGTCAGTTAAAAACAGAGTAGGGGAGTTAGTAGATGGGGAGATGGAGGTATTAGGTAGATGGCGAGAATATTTTGAGGAACTTTTAAATGTTGAGGAAGAAAGAGAGGTGGTAATTTCATGCACTGGTCAGGGAGGTATACCATCTTTTAGGAGTGAAGAAGAGCAGAATGTAAGTGTGGGGGAGGTACGTGAGGCATTACGTAGAATGAAAGGGGGTAAAGCAGCTGGGACTGATGGGATCATGACAGAAATGTTAAAAGCAGGGGAGGATATAGTGTTGGAGTGGTTGGTACTTTTGTTTAATAAATGTATGAAAGAGGGGAAGGTACCTAGGGATTGGCGGAGAGCATATATAGTCCCTTTATATAAAGGGAAAGGGACAAAAGAGATTGTAAAAATTATAGAGGAATAAGTTTACTGAGTATACCAGGAAAAGTTTACAGTAGGGTTATAATTGAAAGAATTAGAGGTAAGACAGAATGTAGGATTGAGGATGAGCAAGGAGGTTTCAGAGTGGGTAGGGGATGTGTAGATCAAGTGTTTACATTGAAGCATATATGTGAACAGTATTTAGATAAAGGTAGGGAAGTTTTTATTGCATTTATGGATTTAGAAAAGGCATATGATAGAGTGGATAGAGGAGCAATGTGGCAGATGTTACAGGTATATGGAATAGGTGGTAAGTTACTAAATGCTGTAAAGAGTTTTTATGAGGATAGTGAGGCTCAGGTTAGGGTGTGTAGAAGAGAGGGAGACTATTTTCCGGTAAAAATAGGTCTCAGACAGGGATGTGTAGTGTCACCATGGTTGTTTAATATATTTATAGATGGGGTTGTAAAGGAAGTAAAGGCTAGGGTGTTCGGGAGAGGGGTGGGATTAAATTTTGGGGAATCAAATTCAAAATGGGAATTGACACAGTTACTTTTTGCTGATGATACTGTGCTTATGGGAGATTCTAAAGAAAAATTGCAAAGGTTAGTGGATGAGTTTGGGAATGTGTGTAAAGGTAGAAAGTTGAAAGTGAACATAGAAAAGAGTAAGGTGATGAGAGTATCAAATGATTTAGATAAAGAAAAATTGGTTATCAAATTGGGGAGGAGGAGTAAGGAAGAAGTGAATGTTTTCAGATACTTGGGAGTTGACGTGTCGGCGGATGGATTTATGAAGGATGAGGTTAATCATAGAATTGATGAGGGAAAAAACGTGAGTGGTGCGTTGAGGTATATGTGGAGTCAAAAAACGTTATCTATGGAGGCAAAGAAGGGAATGTATGAAAGTATAGTGGTACCAACACTCTTATATGGGTGTGAAGCTTGGGTGGTAAATGCAGCAGCGAGGAGACGGTTGGAGGCAGTGGAGATGTCCTGTTTAAGGGCAATGTGTGGTGTAAATATTATGCAGAAAATTCGGAGTGTGGAAATTAGGAGAAGGTGTGGAGTTAATAAAAGTATTAGTCAGAGGGCAGAAGAGGGGTTGTTGAGGTGGTTTGGTCATTTAGAGAGAATGGATCAAAGTAGAATGACATGGAAAGCATATAAATCTATAGGGGAAGGAAGGCGGGGTAGGGGTCGTCCTCGAAAGGGTTGGAGAGAGGGGGTAAAGGAGGTTTTGTGGGTGAAGGGCTTGGACTTCCAGCAAGCGTGCGTGAGTGTGTTAGATAGGAGTGAATGGAGACGAATGGTACTTGGGACCTGACGATCTGTTGGAATGTGAGCAGGGTAATATTTAGTGAAGGGATTCAGGGAAACCGGTTATTTTCATACAGTCGGACTTGAGTCCTGGAAATGGGAAGTACAATGCCTGCACTTTAAAGGAGGGGTTTGGGATATTGGCAGTTTGGAGGGATATGTTGTTATATGTATATGCTTCTAAACTGTTGTATTCTGAGCACCTCTGCAAAAACAGTGATGTGTGAGTGTGGTGAAAGTGTTGAATGATGATGAAAGTATTTTCTTTTTGGGGATTTTCTTTCTTTTTTGGGTCACCCTGCCTCGGTGGGAGACGGCCGACTTGTTGAAAAAAAAAAAAACATGATAATTGTAATTATGTGTATCTGTACCTTAACCCTTTGAGGGTCCGTCCCGTAGATCTACGGCTTTACGTTCAGGGTCCAAACCGTAGATCTACGTCATGAGCTCAGCTCACTCTGATAAACTGTGAGTGGTACATTTGGGCCTAGATATGAGAGAATACATCTATGTGGTATGTGTGCACCACATAAAACAGATCCTGCAGCACGTTGTGTATAATGAGAGAAAAAAACTGAAATCATGATTTTTCGATTAAAACAGCGACTTTGCAGTGTTTTTTTGTATGTTTTTTATAGTTGTATTTGCGATTTCTTGGTCTCATTTGATAGAATGGAAGACATATTACAGAAATAGAGATGATTTTGATTGGTTTTAGCACTAGAAATGGCTTGAAACTGAGCTCAAAGTAGCAGAAATGTTAAATTTTTGCCGATATTCAAGAGTAAACAAACGACCTCACACATCTAATACACACCAGCTGGTGGGTCTAATATGCATTCACAAATATGGTGATGATATTTATACAATTATTACAATATTGCATAACAGTAAATCTTCTATTTTTTGGTGTGAATAAAAATTCATTATGTGAATAAAAAATCAAAATGGAATTCATTTTTAAAGCCTCAAAACGTAACTAATGAACAGAGGAAATGTTAGTTTGTTCCAGGAATCCCTACTTTTGTTTATTTGGACCCTATTTTGAAATTGGAATATTTTGAAATTTGTGTTAAATTGGCCAATTAAAAATTTTCCCGATCACTTTAATTTTTTAGTTAAAAACAGTTGACTTAGCGATTTCTTGTGCTCAATCGATAGAATAGAAGTAATACTAGTGAAATAGCTAAGAATTTGGTTGACTGGAATAATGAAATTTGGGCCCTAAATGGGAGTCAAAGTGGGCCCAAAATCGCCGATTCGTAAATATCGCTCACACATCAAAATTCGCGAGAACATAATTTCGTCAATTTTCCATCAAATTTCGTACTTTTTGTTTTATTACCTTCACAAAAAGATTCTCTACCATTTCATAAAAAAATAACAAATTTTTTTTTTTGAAAATTCTTGGACACTGGGGCACCACTTCAGATTTGGGGCCTTGGACCCTGAAAGGGTTAATTATTATGAGTTAGTCTTGACCCCACAGCTACAAATAAATGATCACAAGTAGGAAACTGCTCAGGGTTTCACAAGCAGCCATGCAGCCAGGGTTTCAATCTTGGAGCTTCAAAATCAAAGAAATCGTTTTTAAAAACAATATTTTTCGGTATTGTAGCACTATGGAAATTTTTTTGATGTGAAATTAGCCCTTAACTGCAAAAAAATAAAAAGTATTTGCACTGGGAGGAGGCTTTAGCCCCATTAGCCTGCCTCCCCCCACCAGCTGTCACTGCCTACAACCATGATCCTGGTTGTGATACAAGTGAGAAATCAGTAAATCATACAAACCACTTAAGTTATTATGTCCAGAGTTATAAAGACACTTCTGTTGGTCAAAGCAACTTTTACACTAAAAATACACCTTTATCCTGTCATTAAAACAAGCCTCACTCCAGAACCAATTTTTTTTTTTTTCAACAAACCGGCCGTATCCCACCAAGGCAGGGTGGTCCAAAAAGATAAACGAAAGTTTTTCTTTTTAAATTTGGTAATTTGTACAGGAGAAGGGGTTACTAGCCCCTTGCTCCCTCCAGAACCAAATATCACACATTATATATTATATTAAAGTTAAACAATATATTTAATCTTTCATTAAGCTGTTTTCATCAAATTGAACAGAGAAAGACAACAAACTTATTAATGTAGCTCGGTGGTCATTCCATTTGGTTCACAAGCAAAAGTTCTGAGATTAAATCCTATTTACCTAGCAACAAGAACTATATTTACCTGTAAGTACACTTCCTTGGTAAATATGCCCTAGATAAAGTTTTCAAATTAGCTAAGGTAATATAACAGTTTTTAGCTTCTACAGGGATGCCCTGCATATACAGCTCCATCTTTCCAGTGTTCCAGTGTTCATTATGTTTGTGCTTTTACCATTTTTCTGGTGTTTTCACCATTTTCATATAATAGCTGTGTAAAGGAAGGGAAACTGGCACCATATTTTAAGGTAAGTTTGTATGTACTGTGTATTTATTCTAATTTTTTATCTGCTTTTTTTATGCCTAGCTGCTAGCTGTACTGAGCACTTAATATATAATAGTGTAAACATTTTATCAGGTGTTTTAGATTCACTCAATAATGAAAAAATCACTCTTTTTCTGACCCCGTACAGGTTCAAAAAAGGGTCAGACACCCAGGAGCTGTACAAATGGGGCCCTCCTGTATATTATAAACATTGAAGCAATATCCTAGCATAATGCAGTTTACCTTCTTGGTGTAGCGTCGTTTAACATCACAGAGCTTGAGACAGGTGAAGAGATAAGAATTCTGAAGGTTGAAATCACTGAGATCCCAAAAGTTGTTGAAGATTTCTAATATTTTGGAGCCCATCCTTTCCCAACACTTCAAGGGACAATGGCACGGTGGTCCAATTATCCTCGCTCCAACCACCTGCAATGAAATATTGATTTATATACATTAGCTGTAACCTATCTTAAAAATCATTCTGATTAGATATGGACATATTAGTCAGCTAAGTTCATTGAAACACAAAGTCTAAAGGGAATAATATTTAGAGGAAGAATAAACTATCTAATGTAAAATAAAAAACTATACACAAAACACTCCCACACAACATAAGAATTGAGGAACACTGCTGTAGCATTACTGGCCCATACAAGGCAAGTCCTTCTCAATATCAACCATTCCCACCCACCTAATCATCTAACCTTTACCCAAAGCCACCTAAGCATTACCCTACCCTCCTTCCTGTTGTTTCTATCAACATGGAGTGATTTAAACCTTTGAATGTGGCACCTGGCAACCATGTCCCAACACTTTAAATTAAAGCAGTTATTGCAATAACATTAATGCTTCCTGCACACACTGCCAAACATAAATTCATTAATTTTATTCCTGACAAACCATACCGCAGGCGGGGATAGAACCCGCAGTCAGCCATAAAACTCCAGAACTGCGGGTTCTATCCCTACCTGTGATATGGTTTGTTTGCAATCGTGTCATTACGATTTCGTGAGTTATTCCTGGCACTTTGTCTATTAGTATAAAATATGTCAGGATGTTTTTTCTTCTGTGCCTTTGCCCCTATTCAGCTTTGCCTTTCCAAAATTTCTGTTATTATCTTTACCCAGCATTACGTAATGACTGTTATTCCTAAAATTCATGATATCAGTATGTGTTTCCACAATCCATTTATTCCCTTCCAAACCCCATACCTTTAACTATTCCTAGTTTAAACTCCTAACAACACTCTCCACTGCACTAGCAAGAGCACCCACACATGCCCAGGATAAGTGAACCCCATCCCGACATGCATGTCATATATGCCGTAGAAGTGGTCCCAGTTGTCGATAAATGGTACAGCAGCATCCTTACAGCCAACAATTAAACCATTTGCTCTGGGAAGCCATTCATTTGCAACACCCCTTCTAGGCAAAAATGCCAGGAGAATAGGGTAATGTTTGGTTTACCATAAAGTAAAATATAAGGGAGAAGGGCAGATCTGAGAATGAAATGACACCACTCACCCACCATGAATCATGGTCACCTATGACCCTACCTGCTGCACAACACCTGGATGACACTGCCAGAAGTAATGGAGCAAGGATCAAAAACCATCTGTTCAGACAAGTACTATTGTTTTTCAGGTAATAATAGTGGTGTGCAAACTGGCAATAATGCAAGAAGTTATAGACTTACAGTTGCCATTCCTGGATACACAGGCAACCTCCAGTAGTACTTTCATCAGAGGTCCCACCACGTGGAGGCCAGATGTCTCACCAGAGGGTCATCTGATATGCCCTAATATTTTTTTTATTTTATTATCACACTGGCCGATTCCCACCAAGGCAGGGTGGCCCGAAAAAGAAAAATTTTCACCATCATTCACTCAATCACTGTCTTGCCAGAAGGGTGCTTTACACTACAGTTTTTAAACTGCAACATTAACACCCCTACTTCAGAGTGCAGGCACTGTACTTCCCATCTCCAGGACTCAAGTCCGGCCTGCCGGTTTCCCTGAATCCCTTCATAAATGTTACTTTGCTCCCACCCCAACAGCACATCAAGTATTAAAAACCATTTGTCTCCATTCACTCCTATCAAACACTCTCACGCATGCCTGCTGGAAGTCCAAGCCCCTCGCACACAAAACCTCCTTTACCCCCTCCCTCCAACCTTTCCTAGGCCGACCCCTACCCCGCCTTCCTTCCACTACAGACTGATACACTCTTGAAGTCACTCTGTTTCGCTCCATTCTCTCTACATGTCCGAACCACCTCAACAACCCTTCCTCAGCCCTCTGGACAACAGTTTTGGTAATCCCGCATCTCCTCCTACTTCCAAACTACGAATTCTCTGCATTATATTCACACCACACATTGCCCTCAGACATGACATCTCCACTGCCTCCAGCCTTCTCCTCGCTGCAACATTCATCACCCATGCTTCACACCCATATAAGAGCGTGGTAAAACTATACTTCATACATTCCCTCTTTGCCTCCAAGGACAAAGTTCTTTGTCTCCACAGACTCCTAAGTGCACCACTCACCCTTTTCCCCTCATCAATTCTATGATTCACCTCATCTTTCATAGACCCATCTGCTGACACGTCCACTCACAAATATCTGAATACATTCACCTCCTCCATACTCTCTCCCTCCAATCTGATATCCAATCTTTCATCACCTAATCTTTTTGTTATCCTCATAACCTTACTCTTTCCTGTATTCACTTTTAATTTTCTTCTTTTGCACACCCTACCAAATTCATCCACCAATCTCTGCAACTTCTCTTCAGAATCTCCCAAGAGCACAGTGTCATCAGCAAAGAGCAACTGTGACAACTCCCACTTTATGTGTGATTCTTTATCTTTTAACTCCACGCCTCTTGCCAAGACCCTCGCATTTACTTCTCTTACCCCATCTATAAATATATTAAACAACCACGGTGACATCACACATCCTTGTCTAAGGCCTACTTTTACTGGGAAATAATTGCCCTCTTTCCTACATATTCTAACCTGAGCCTCACTATCCTCATAAAAACTCTTCACTGCTTTCAGTAACCTATCTCCTACACCATACACCTGCAACATCTGCCACATTGCCCCCCTATCCACCCTGTCATACGCCTTTTCCAAATCCATAAATGCCACAAAGACCTCTTTAGCCTTATCTAAATACTGTTCACTTATATGTTTCACTGTAAACACCTGGTCCACACACCCCCTACCTTTCCTAAAGCCTCCTTGTTCATCTGCTATCCTATTCTCCATCTCACTCTTAATTCTTTACAAAGGAACTATGCATGCTCTCTGCCAATCCCTAGGTACCTTACCCTCTTCCATACATTTATTAAATAATTGCACCAACCACTCCAAAACTATATCCCCACCTGCTTTTAACATTTCTATCTTTATCCCATCAATCCCGGCTGCCTTACCCCCTTTCATTTTACCTACTGCCTCACGAACTTCCCCCACACTCACAACTGGCTCTTCCTCACTCCTACAAGATGTTATTCCTCCTTGCCCTATACACAAAAGCTTCACTACATTTTTAAACCATACCTCTTCGACCCCATTACCTATGCTCTCATTAGCCCATCTATCCTCCAATAGCTGTTTATATCTTACCCTAACTGCCTCCTCTTTTAGTTTATAAACCTTCACCTCTCTCTTCCCTGATGCTTCTATTCTCCTTGTATCCCATCTACCTTTTACTCTCAGTGTAGCTACAACTAGAAAGTGATCTGATATATCTGTGGCCCCTCTATAAACATGTACATCCTGAAGTCTACTCAACAGTCTTTTATCTACCAATACATAATCCAACAAACAACTGTCATTTTGCCCTACATCATATCTTGTATACTTATTTATCCTCTTTTTCTTAAAATATGTATTACCTATAACTAAACCCCTTTCTATACAAAGTTCAATCAAAGGGCTCCCATTATCATTTACACCTGGCACCCCAAACTTACCTACCACACCCTCTCTAATAGTTTCTCCTAGTTTAGCATTCAGATCCCCTACCACAATTACTCTCTCACTTGGTTCAAAGGCTCCTATACATTCACTTAACATCTCCCAAAATCTCTCTCTTCCTCTACATTCCTCTCTTCTCCAGGTGCATACACGCTTATTATGACCCACTTTTCGCATCCAACCTTTACTTTAATCCACATAATTCTTGAATTTACCATTCATATTCTCTTTTCTCCTTCCATAACTGATCCTTCAAAATTACTGCTACCCCTTCCTTTGCTCTAACTCTCTCAGATACTCCAGATTTAATCCCATTTATTTCCCCCCACCGAAACTCCCCTACCCCCTTCAGCTTTGTTTCGCTTAGGGCCAGGACATCCAACTTCTTTTCATTCATAACATCAGCAATCATCTGTTTCTTGTCATCCGCACTACATCCACGCACATTCAAGCATCCCAGTTTTATAAAGTTTTTCTTCTTCTCTTTTTTAGTAAATGTCTACAGGAGAAGGGGTTACTAGCCCATTGCTCCCAGCATTTTAGTCGCCTCATACGACACGCATGGCTTATGGAGAAAAGATTCTTTTCCACTTCCCCATGGACAATAGAAGAAATAAAAAAGAACAAGAGCTATTTAGAAAAAGGAAAAAAACCTAGATGTATGTATATATATATATGCATGTGCATGTCTGTGAAGTGTGACCAAAGTGTAAGTAGGAGTAGCAAGATATCCCTGTTATCTAGCGTGTTTATGAGACAGAAAAAGAAACCAGCAATCCTACCATCATGCAAAACAGTTACTGTTTTCTGTTTCACAGTCATCTGCCCTAATATGACTCAGTTTCCACTGGGTGGAGTGACCCATCTACCAAAGCACTACCAATAACAGTTACATTAGAACATCAGTATAGTAGCTGGATTATTGCAAGTGAGAGACAATGAAGAACACCAAAAAGTCATCAGGTAAATATCAGAAAACAGAATGACAAGAGAAGACAGCTAAGTTCAGGTCAAATCATGGGTTTTCAAAATTAAAACATGTAACAACAAATAGTATCTAATGATTAATAGACTGCAATACTGAACTCTCACCTTGCCTAGACGATTCACGTATTCACGACCAGAATTACGATTGAGTTTTATTCGCTGTCTCTTTTGCTTTAATTGATTGATGGCTTCCTCTGATTCTCTCTTGATTTGATTAAGTGATGTGTCAATCTGAAAACAATAACATGAATAAATCTGCCATTATATATATGATAAGTCTAGGAAATGTACAATAAAATATCTAGACATTAAGAACATTAGTGTTGTCTGTTAATAATTTAAAAAAAAAAAACACTTTTCATTATCACTATTAAGACATTGAAGCCTAACTCACTCTTACCAATGTGGCTACTTTACAGATATGAGACTCGTTCCAGTTACAGTGGTGTGATTATGTTCTTCGTCTTTATGTGTATTCACTGTTGGCTGTCTTTTCACATTAGAGTAAAATTTTAAATATCCTAGATATGTGAACCAAAGACATGTATGGAGAAAGAGCTTTTACTGGGACAATGTTAAGATCTTTATAAAATTATATGATAAAATGCTTAACAGATCAAAATATTGTCCTATAGAAGTTCTTCATAAAGACACATAATCGAAAGGTCATAATCATAACCATAATTTTTAAAAGGGGCGGACTGGTAAGCCAGGGCAGGGGCTTGGTAAGACGACCAAAAGGTCCAGCTGCAGGCCATCATATGATTAACACCCGCATCAGGAAACACTCGTCCTGTTTCCCGACAAACCTCACCCAATCTAATGAAACAGACACACTTTCTTCACTATTGTCAGTGGTATGCTCCTTGTATCCAACAAATATCTCTGATTCTATCATTTGCTTACATTGCTCAATTAATGCAAAAATATTTATACATTTTATATAAAATATTAAAAAGCACATAAGAGTGATAATTCACATTACCATAGGACCATTCCTTGGGTCTATGTGGACGATACTTTTTTTTTGGACAACAATGCGTTTTCTTTTCATTCTCCGAGCCTTCTTCACTGGTTGCTTCTTCTCTCTCTCCTTCTTTTTCTTCCACGGTCGCCTCCACGTTCGCTTTACAGGCACAGGTTTGACCTGAGGTAAATATTTTGAAGTGTTTAGTACAGTATTCCATTCACTCTTTCTCTCACCTTTCATTCTCAATTAAATTTAGTAAAATAGAAAACTCAAGCCTTGTAAGGTAATGAATGTAAAACTGTATTTTTTTTTTTAAAGGTACACACACATGAGTACCACTAGATTAAATAATATGAACCACCTGTTAAGTGCAAATATTTCATCAAAATTTGAAAGAATTCCTACATAATTTTGAGGACAGAAAACCTTCATTTAGTATCATATTTTAACAGTTATTTACCTTATTCAAGAACAGTAATTAAAAATTTACACAATTGTTGCAATTTGAATTTCTGCTGAAAAATAAGGACAAGAGTACAGTTTACTGCATAAAAAAATTAAATATACAGCAAACTCACATCTTCTTTATTTAAGATTCCATTTGTAGTCACGACAGTTGTGGTAGTCGATGCCCCACCACTAGTGAATGTTATAGGGTTGTTATTAGCCGTCATAATTCCAGTCAGTACAATCAGTGGGGGAGACTGAGAGACTGTGCCAGCAGTCACTGTCACAGTTGCTGGTGTCTTCGATGCACCTGCGTGTTGAACAGTGATGGGCATCTGTAGGCCATTAACTAGCTGAACGCTGTTTACTGATGTTAATATTTGTTGCTGAGGCTGATTCTGCTGTACTTGTTGTGTTTGTTGCTGTGTCTGTTGCTGCTGCTGTTGTGTTTGTTGCATTTGCTGCTGCATCTGTTGCTGTGATGGCATCTGTTGTGACGAGGATTGCTGCCGAGGTTGCTGAGTTGGTGGCTGTTGCTGTTGCTGCTGTTGCTGCTGCTGTTGCTGCTGCTGCTGTTGCTGCTGCTGCTGTTGTTGCTGCTGCTGCTGCTGCTGCTGCTGCTGAAGTTTTGGCTGTTGTGGTTGGTTTTGCATTAGCTGCTGTGATGACGGCTGTTGCACCTGCTGCTGGGCCTGCTGTTGTGCTTGCTGCTGTGATTGTTGTTGTGCTTGCTGCTGTGCTTGTTGCTGAGCTTGCTGCTGAGCTTGCTGCTGTGCTTGCTGCTGCACCTGCTGGTGTGCCTGTTGTTGAGCTTGTTGCTGCGCTTGCTGCTGGACTTGTTGGTGTTGCTGGAGAAGTTGCTGCTGACCAATAGGTTGGCTTGGCTGTTGAGCAGACATCTGCTGTTGGAGTAATCTGGGCTGTGTAAGACCCTGCTGCTGTTGATGCTGAACATGCTGATGCTGCTGGACATGCTGATGCTGCTGCACCATCTGTGCCATTATTGGTTGTGCTTGAAGATGTATGTGCTGGGTGGAGGGCGAGGAGGGTACAGTCGTGGTAACCCCAGCTATGTTGACAATCGAGGTGGCCGGTGTGGTGGAGAGCGAGGTGGCCAGCTGCGGTGGCTGTGGTCGTGGTAGTTCTTCCTTGACGTGGTGGTGGGCTCCCTGACCTTCCTGAACCACCTCACAAAACTGCAGTGGTGAGAAGAGGTCCTGGGCAAAGCCAGCTGCCTCTGAAGCTGGCTCAGCCATTCTTCTGCACTCTTCAAAATCTTGCCATCAAAACAATGCCACTGTAAATAAAACCGTAATTATTAACTAAATACAGTACTCAACCACATTATTTAAAATAGAAGAAAAAATTGGATTATAAAGCTTGAAGGGTCAGTAGCCCAGAATAACTCAATAAGGTCAATCTATGTGGCTTATTTCCATTGTGGTCCTGTTTTTTAGGATCTTCACAAGATACAACCCTCAACAGCTAACTAACACCCAGGTATCTATTTCCTGCTAAGCAACAGGGATGGTATGATAGGTGTTGGGGTCTTCCCAACATGTTCCATTTCATGTGAGGCTCAAGCTACACAAAAGGAGTTAGCTACAGAAAGGGAGGAGATTTAGCTACAGAAGGGGAGGAGAGTTAGCTACAGAAGGGGAGGAGAGTTAGCTACAGAAGGGGAAGAGAGTTAGCTACAGATGGGGAGGAGAGTTAGCTACAGAAGGGGAGGAGAGTTAGCTACAGAAGGGGAAGAGAGTTAGCTACAGATGGGGAGGAGAGTTAGCTACAGAAGGGGAGGAGAGTTAGCTACAGAAGGGGAGGAGAGTTAGCTACAGATGGGGAGGAGAGTTAGCTACAGAAGAGGAGGAGAGTAATTTCTTGTGTAGTTAACATTCATGTACCTATTACTGTAAGCTGATTCCCTCTTTAATGTTAAGATAAGATTTTGTTCAGATTTTAACCCTGGAGGGTTAGCCACCCAGGATAACCTAAGAAAGTCAGTGCATCATCGAGGACTATCTGTTATATTTCCATTGGGGTCCTCAATCTTGTCTCCCAGAATGTGACCCACACCAGTCGACTAACATCCAGGTACCCACCTGCTGCTGGATGAATGGGACAACAGGTGTAAGGAAACACACCCAATGTTTCCACACTTGCTGGGGATCGAACCTGGACACTCAGCGCTTAAAGCGAGAGCTTTACCTACCTTATTCCTAGCACATGTATATCTCCTTTTATTGTAACTTGACTTTTCACAGTTGAGTTACTTTGCTATTTTAACTTTTAAGGTTATAATCATGATTCCTACTGTATCTTACAGCTAGGATTTAGATAAGATAAGATAAGATTTCGTTCGGATTTTTAATCCCCGGAGGGTTAGCCACCCAGGATAACCCAAGAAAGTCAGTGCGTCATCGAGGACTGTCTAACTTATTTCCATTGGGGTCCTTAATCTTGTCCCCCAGGATGCGACCCACACCAGTCGACTAACACCCAGGTACCTATTTGCTGCTAGGTGAACAGGACAACAGGTGTAAGGAAACGTGTCGAAATGTTTCCACCCGCCGGGAATCGAACCCGGGCCCTCCGTGTGTGAAGCGGGAGCTTTAGCCACCAGGCCACCTAATGGAAATAAGTCACTTTGATTTTTTTGGGTTATCGTGGGTAATTTACACTATGAATGATAATTGTACCTATGTATAACTGTACCTCAATAAGCTTACTTACTAAGCTAAAAAAGTCAAAGTGAATTATTTCCACTGGGGTCCTGAGAAGGGGAAAAGTCCTCCCACTCCCTCCCCAGGAAGGAAGATAACCTTAACAACCTCCCCCTGGGAGGTTAACAAGCCCCTGGCAGCTAACAAGGTCATTATCTTGACTAACAACATTCAAATAAGTCAGTGACTTATTTCCATTAGGGTCCTGAAAAGGGGAAAAGATAAAGTGTTCCCCTCCCCAGTATAACCTCCCCAGAGGGACGAGGACTTAACAACCTCCCCCTGGGAGGTTAACAAGCTCCTGGCCCCTAACAAGGTCATTATCTTGACTAAGAAGATTCAAATAAGTGTTAGTTTGGCGGGTGTCGTCGTTATGCCCTTGTAGTGCTGAGTCTGGCACCGCCATGATGCTTACTACCTTCTGCCGCCTCCATCGCCACCACTCACACTCACATTTCACACTTTTTACCCACCATTCCCCCCTTCTGGGAGCAAATAAGCACCCTAGGTGAAAGTAGCGTCCTGTGCCGTCCCCTGGTTGAGGTTTAAAGGCAGTTTGGGTTGTTAATGATGGCATAATGAGGGATTAATAAGTTGTGGTGTGAGGTCAGAGAGGCGGGAGCCAGCAGCCTCCACATACAACAGTAACATAGTACACAAGCCACAACTTTCTTACTTTCTCTACTTTGTTTAACTTTAAAACTGTGCCTAGTGGCTGCCTATTATCTCTCTCTTCCATCCCACGAGGCAACAACTTGCCAAGTAATTTCTTACCACATAAAATTGGTAATAATTGAAGGCGGGTGAGGTGAGCTCGACAAGGAACAAGAGGCGCTGCGGGGGATATAACATTTACATCAATATATCAACTAAAACAATGCTAATATTACTTCTCAATATTCTCCAAATTACTTTAATTTATATCCCAATACATCAAAGTATCACATTTATTGCAGCATTGATAATGGAGAGTATAAAAGTATAATTATAAAGACTATATCTTACTCTGGAGAATTATAACCAATAAACAAAAGATATTCCAGTAATGTTTCCAGCACAACAGATGTTCAATCTTTCAGAAATATTAATTAAAAATAATTTTTTTCTGAATAATGTGATGGATAATCCACCATATATCTATACTTACCGCACGATAACTCAAAACTGTTCTTCGGTAATAAATTACATGCATCCAGGCGCCAGCCAGACTTATTAACTGACACAATAATAACTGGGTAACCATAATCTCAAAGATATATATTTATATATATATATATTATATATATATATATATATATATATATATATATATATATATATATATATATATATATATATATTCTTTCATCTTTCAACACACCGGCCGTATCCCACCGAGGCAGGGTGGCCCAAAAGAAAAAAACCAAAGTTTTCTCCTTTCAAATTTAGTAATATATACAGGAGAAGGGGTTACTAGCCCCTTGCTCCCGGCATTTTAGTCGCCTCTTACAACACGCATGGCTTACGGAGGAAGAATTCTGTTCCACTTCCCCATGGAGATAAGAGGAAATAAACAAGAACAAGAACTAGAAAGAAAATCGAAGAAAACCCAGAGGGGTATGTATATATACGCTTGTACATGTATGTGTAGTGTGACCTGAGTGTAAGTAGAAGTAGCAAGACGTACCTGAAATTTTGCATGTTCATGAGACAGAAAAAAAGGACACCAGCAATCCTACCATCATGTAAAACAATTACAGGCTTTCGTGTTACACTCACTTGGCAGGACGGTAGTACCTCCCTGGGCGGTTGCTGTCTACCAACCTACTACCTAGGATATATATATATATATATATATATATATATATATATATATATATATATATATATATATATATATATATATATATATAATTTCTCTAAATATAGGGAAGTACCACATCTGGAACTGGACTGGGGACCCTCAGCCTCACAGACAAGAATAAATTGACTAGCAGGCCTATTGGCCCATGCGAGGCAGGTCCAAGTCTCCTACTGGCTTAAGCCAAAGCCCCAACCTAGTCAGAGTCAGCTCAGGTCACATTCACTTAAGGAACACGGCATCTGACCTAGTAGCACAAGCTAGTCAGGTCCAACTCACACCCACTCATGCATTTATCTAACCTATTCTTAAAACTATCCAATGTTTTAACCTCTATAACTGTGTTAACCTGAATAAACTTACTACAACAGTTTAATTATTCTCAGTGACAGCATCTCCAAGCTGTTCTCTGCCTCTCTATAAGACATTTTTCAGTAGGCCTATTACAAGGACCACTGGAAATAAATCACCTTGACTCTTTTTTTGGTTATCTAGGGTGATTTTGGCTATGTATGATAACTGTACTTACGTGTTCCTGTACCTAACTAAACTTATACATAAATTAGTTATTGTCCTTTTTGGTGGTAAGATATTGATTACCACCGGAACATGAGAAGCCTCACATAGGCCTACTGGCCTGTGAGGCCAGTAGGCCTATTTCCATTGCGGGGATCACAATGGAAATACAAGGACCCCAGTAGAAATATAAGTACCACAATGGAAATAAGGGCTACAATGGAAATACAAGGACCACAATGGAAATACGTACAAGGACCACAATGGAAATACGTACAAGGACCACAATGGAAATACAAGGACCACAATGGAAATACAAGGACCACAATGGAAATACGTACAAGGACCACAATGGAAATACAAGGACCACAATGGAAATACAAGGACCACAATGGAATACAAGGCTACAATGAAAATACAAGGACCACAATGGAAATACAAGGACCACAATGTAATACAAGGCTACAATGGAAATACAAGGACCACAATAGAAATACAAGGACCACAATGGAATACAAGGCTACAATGGAAATACAAGGACCACAATGGAAATACAAGGACCACAATGGAATACAAGGCTACAATGAAAATACAAGGACCACAATGGAAATACAAGGACCACAATGGAAATACAAGGACCACAATGGAATACAAGGCTACAATGGAAATACAAGGATCACAATGGAATACAAGGCTACAATGGAAATTAAGGACCACAATGGAAATACAAGGACCACAATGGAAATACAAGGACCACAATGGAATACAAGGCTACAATGGAAATACAAGGACCACAATGGAATACAAGGCTACAATGGAAATAAAAGGACCACAATGGAAATACAAGGACCACAATGGAATACAAGGCTACAATGGAAATACAAGGACCACAATGGAAATACAAGGACCACAATGGAATACAAGGCTACAATGGAAATACAAGGACCACAATGGAAATACAAGGACCACAATGGAAATACAAGGACCACAATGGAATACAAGGCTACAATGGAAATACAAGGATCACAATGGAATACAAGGCTACAATGGAAATTAAGGACCACAATGGAAATACAAGGACCACAATGGAAATACAAGGACCACAATGGAATACAAGGCTACAATGGAAATTAAGGACCACAATGGAAATACAAGGACCACAATGGAAATACAAGGACCACAATGGAAATACAAGGACCACAATGGAAATACAAGGACCACAATGGAATACAAGGCTACAATGGAAATTAAGGACCACAATGGAAATACAAGGATCACAATGGAAATACAAGGACCACAATGGAAATACAAGGATCACAATGGAAATAAGTCACTCTGCCTGATTTTTTGGGGTTATCCTGGGTAATTTACATTATGAAAGATAATTGTACTTAAGTGTACCTGTACCTAAATAAACTTACACTATCACCACTACAGATGTTATACCAAATTGTTGGTTAGTTGGTTAATGAGGTTTAAAGCCTATCTACTACACGAAGGTCATTAAGGGTGCATGTAACCCTGCCATTACCAGCAAGAATATTTCAATACCTAAAATAGGGTATATATGCTAAGAGAAATACGATCCACAGCATACAGTATATATTCTATGTCAACATTAAACACTGCAAACCATAGCAGTTTTAGTAAACAAACTTAGTAAATTGTTAAGCAGTGAAAAGTTAATTTTTCAGTGTGCCGGAAATGCTATGTGTGAAAAAAACCATACCCCCGGCCGGGATTGAACCCGCGGTCATAGAGTCTCAAAACTCCAGCAATCGTGTCATTACGATTTCTTGAGTCATGCTATGTGTGACCGGGGGTTTTGGTATAAAATCTGTCGGTAATGTTCGTAAATGAGAATAACAATGGTTATAAATGACCATAATTTTTAAAGGGGTGGACCGGTAAGCCAGCGGAAGGCCTCGGTCAGATGACCAAAAGCTCCAAAGGCGGGTCATCATCAGACTAAGACCCGCGTCAGGAAACATTTGTCCTGTTTCCTGACGAACCTTACCTAACCTTAGTAAATGAGACTCTTGCAACATGTGCGTAATTTTATTCTGGAAACGTTTCGCCAGCTAGTGACTTCTTCAGTTAAATGCAGAGAAATGTGGAAGATGAGAAGGAGTTTGGAGTAATGAGTCCCTCAACCTGGAGTGGATGTCTTCACTCCATTAATCAAGAATGATGAACACATCCACTCAGACTGACGTCCCCTCAAGGGGACGCTGGTGAGGGGCTCTTGATCTAGGTAATTGGATCTGTGCTCCAGTTCCTTGAATTGAGCCTGAATGCCTTCCCTCCCCCCACAGGTGCTGTATAATCCCTACGGGTTTAGCACTCCCCATAATAATAATAGTAATATTGCTATGGATCAGACTATCTTAGGGGGAAGGAAGCAGAGAGAACGTCAGAAAAGAGACGCTTTTAGGCTGTGCTGTTGAGGTATCCTGAGGACGCATCGTGCCTGACTAAGACAGGATAAGGTAAGATTTGTTCGGATTTTTAATCTGGAGGGTTAGCCACCCAGGATAACCCAAGAAAGTCAGTGAGTCATTGAAGACTGTCTTATTGTCATTGTGGTCCTTCAATCTTGTCCCCCCAGGATGCCACCCACACCAGTAGACTAACACCCAGGTACTTACTGCTAGGTGAATGGGGCAATAGGTGTAAGGTGACTAACACCCAGGTACCTACTTACTGCTAGGTAAACAGGAACAACAGGTGTAAGGTGACTAACACCCAGGTACCTACTTACTGCTAGGTGAACAGGGACAGCAGGTGTAAGGTGACTAACACTCAGGTACCTACTTACTACTAGGTAAACAGGAACAAGTGTAAGGTGACTAACACCCAGGTAACTACTTACTGCTAGGTAAACAGGAACAACAGGTGTAAGGTGACATGCCCAATGTCTCCACCCGGCCGGGGATTGAACCATGGACACCGTGTGTGAGGCGAGAGCGTTGTCTACCAAGCCACAGGTCGATAGAGGCGGGAAACAGGTTCACAGGGGTTCCTCATTTCCCCAGATAACCTGCCGTAGATGATGACATGAGCGAGGGTAGCTGCCAGGGCTAAGTTAGCAGCCATCACTTGTGTTCCAGCACCTGTTGCACAAACCTCCCTGCAGAGTGCACGGTGACGAGGTCATTAGAAGAACCTACTTCCACTGGGGAATCCCGCCTACCAGTGACTATGCCCTCGTCTGCTACCGTCCCATTTCCACCTGACGTTACTACTATAAGCGTCAGGCGCCTTGCTTCTGCTTCAGAATCTCCACGACTATGGTGCTCTTCGCTCCTACTTCTAGGTTGAGGGACTGATTACCTCATCTTCTGTACATAGTTCTCCTGTCTTCAAGTTATGTCCTGGAATTTGTATTGATAAAGCCACTGGATGGCGAAACGTCTACAATAATGATACCCAGATATTGCACATGTGTCTCAATTTCATCAGAAGAACAACTCGCTGGATCTGCCGGGATGTTCCTCTTTCTTTTTAGATCCATGAAGGAGGCGAATGAGGGACCAGATCTACGCAAGAAGGACGGCAGGAAGTAAGGTTCTACAGAAGCCTCTGATATGTCTTCCTGAAAGACCAGACATAATTATGAGTAAGATATATTTAGGTCTCTTTATTGTAGAAACGTTTCGCCTGCACACTAGGCTTATTTAATTGATTGAAGAAGCCTACTATATGGGCTTCTGTTGCACATGTAAATTACTCGTCAATTTGTTGGTATTTTATGCCACTTTTATCATTGTATACATGACTGTATTATACAATATAATTAGTAGTTACTGTAAACCTTCACGAATATAACTAAATAAACACTTGAACATTGAGACACTTATGCAGCATATGGGAATCTTCATTCAGGAAACGTTTCGCCACACTGGTTTCATCAGTCCAATACAAAGAGGAAGGCGTAAGGAGAGGAGTATGAGGTAATCAGTCCCTCAGCCTGGAGTCGATGTGTTCAGTCCATCAATCTTGAGGGACTGATTACCTCATACTCCTCCTCTCCTTACGCCTTCCTCTTTGTATTGGACTGATGAAGCCACTGTGTGGCGAAACGTTTCCTGAATAAAGATTCCCATATTCTGCATAAGTGTCTCAATGTTCAACTTGTCGGTTTTTCAAACCATTCATCACAAATAAACACTTCAAAGAACAGGAGAGATCTGTGAAGGACTTACCTTCCTGCTGGGGTTCTTGAACCTTACTTCCCACACGGGAGCCTCATGCTTCCCAGACAGGTTCCTCCTGCTGGGGTTCTTGAACCTTACTTCCCACACGGGAGCCTCATGCTTCCCAGACACAGGTTCCTCCTGCTGGGATTCTTGAACCTTACTTCCCACACGGGAGCCTCATGCTTCCCAGACACAGGTTCCTCCTGCTGGGGTTCTTGAACCTTACTTCCCACACGGGAGCCTCATGCTTCCCAGACACAGTTCCTCCTGCTGGGGTTCTTGAACCTTACTTCCCACACGGGAGCCTCATGCTTCCCAGACACAGGTTCCTCCTGCTGGGGTTCTTGAACCTTACTTCCCACACGGGAGCCTCATGCTTCCCAGACACAGGTTCCTCCTGCTGGGGTTCTTGAACCTTACTTCCCACACGGGAGCCTCATGCTTCCCAGACACAGGTTCCTCCTGCTGGGGTTCTTGAACCTTACTTCCCACACGGGAGCCTCATGCTTCCCAGACACAGTTCTCCTGCTGGGGTTCTTGAACCTTACTTCCACACGGGAGCCTCATGCTTCCCAGACACAGTTCCTCCTGCTGGGGTTCTTGAACCTTACTTCCCACACGGGAGCCTCATGCTTCCCAGACACAGTTCCTCCTGCTGGGGTTCTTGAACCTTACTTCCCACACGGGAGCCTAATGCTTCCCAGACACAGGTTCCTCCTGCTGGGGTTCTTGAACCTTACTTCCCACACGGGAGTCTCATGCTTCCCAGACACAGGTTCCTCCTGCTGGGGTTCTTGAACCTTACTTCCCACACAGGAGCCTCATGCTTCCCAGACACAGGTTCCTCCTGCTGGGGTTCTTGAACCTTACTTCCCACACAGGAACCTCATGCTTCCCAGACACAGGTTCCTCCTGCTGGGGTTCTTGAACCTTACTTCCCACACAGGAGCCTCATGCTTCCCAGACACAGGTTCCTCCTGCTGGGGTTCTTGAACCTTACTTCCCACACAGGAACCTCATACTTCCAGACACAGGTTCCTCCTGCTGGGGTTCTTGAACCTTACTTCCCACACAGGAGCCTCATGCTTCCCAGACACAGGTTCCTCCAGCTGGGGTACTTGAACCTTACTTCCCACACAGGAACCTCATGCTTCCCAGACACAGGTTCCTCCTGCTGGGGTTCTTGAACCTTACTTCCCACACGGGAGTCTCATGCTTCCCAGACACAGGTTCCTCCTGCTGGGGTTCTTGAACCTTACTTCCCACACAGGAACCTCATGCTTCCCAGACACAGGTTCCTCCTGCTAGGGTTCTTGAACCTTACTTCCCACACAGGAACCTCATGCTTCCAGACACAGGTTCCTCCTGCTGGGGTTCTTGAACCTTACTTCCCACACAGGAACCTCATGCTTCCCAGACACAGGTTCCTCCTGCTGGGGTTCTTGAACCTTACTTCCCACACGGGAGTCTCATGCTTCCCAGACACAGGTTCCTCCTGCTGGGGTTCTTGAACCTTACTTCCCACACAGGAACCTCATGCTTCCCAGACACAGGTTCCTCCTGCTAGGGTTCTTGAACCTTACTTCCCACACAGGAACCTCATGCTTCCAGACACAGGTTCCTCCTGCTGAGGTTCTTGAACCTTACTTCCCACACAGGAACCTCATGCTTCCAGACACAGGTTCCACCTGCTGGGGTTCTTGAACCTTACTTCCCACACAGGAACCTCATGCTTCCCCAGACACAGGTTCCACTTTCACCCCTCAAGGGAGGTTCCTTGATGCTGGTGCGGGGCTCTTGATCTAGGGAATTGTATCTGAGCTCTGGTTCCCTGAATTAAGCCTGAATACCCCCCCCCCCGTTGACAGGCGCTGTATAATCCTACGTGTTTAGCGCTCCCCCATGATTATAATAATAATCCACCTTGATCATAATGCCAACAGTTTTTAACAATGGCAATAAATCGGTCATGGCTATGACGCCATGCCTAGCCTATTAATTTTATACAACAGAAAAATTTGAAGAGTTAGATATGCGAAAGTTCTGACATTTTCATTTATTTTTGTTAATGAACAGAGTTCGGTAAATTTTTATAACTGTTGTAAACTGAAAAAAATAATAATTTTTGAAAGAGGCGATTCACTGATGAAATAATACTATCATTTATTTAATGACAAATTTATTCACATTAGTGCAATTAAGACGGTATTTTTTTTTATCTAAATGAAAGAAGAATATGAAATATATTTCTTTGCTATGTTATTCGAATTTATATATAAATAAATTTTGTCAAATTGTTGTGATGAATGTTGGTTAAGAATACATCTTAGAAATATTTAACAATAATGAAACTGTGGATTAGGCATTTTGGTGTTTTGAGAAATACGTTTTACACTTATAGAAAATAAAAGTACAGTAAAACTTCTTATAAACCTACTCAATATGGTGATTTTTTTTTTTTTTTTTGCAAATGCAATTGAAAAAGTGTATTTAAAATTAAATAGCAGTTACTACAAAGGTCTTTAACGTCGTATTAAATTTTAGATACATTTTTTCAGTTCTTTTTTATAAAAAATGTACCATATATAAGAGTTTTATAAGAGATGACTATACAACAAAATTTTGAATTTGAGAATGAGCGGGAGGTCAGTGTGGTGGTGACCTTCATGCAGGGAGGCTGCTCATTTTTCTTCTCCAGTTATTTTTTTTTTTCCATTTCCCTCCTATATCAATTAACAATGGGGATCTTCTACTCTAAGAAAAGAGAAGAGAAGAACAGAGAGTTGACGGATGAGGAGAAGTATGAGCTACGTATGTCACATGTGAGGAGAGAAGTAGAAACATTGGTGAGTGTCTTGGTAGACTCGTAATTAACTTTATTTAGTTACAGGTACATATAAGTAACTAGGTACAGGTACATACAAGTAACTATTTAGTTACAGGTACATACAAGTAACTATTTAGGTACAGGTACATACAAGTAACTATTTAGTTACAGGTACATACAAGTAACTATTTAGGTACAGGAAACATAAAAGTAACTATTTAGGTACAGGTACATACAAGTAACTAGTTACAGGTACATACAAGTAACTATTTAGGTACAGGTACATATAAGCACAATTATCATACATACTTTAACACGTTAATTACTTGAGGTCATTGATACTGGTACAATATTCTAATTTAAAGTAAGCACTGAGCCTTACACCCCTCAAAGAAGGTTCCTTGATGCTGGTGAGGGGCTCTTGATCTAGGGAATTGGATCTGTGCTCCAGTTCCCTGAATTAAGTCTGAATACCTACCATCCCCCCCCCACAAGCGCTGTATAATCCTACGGATTTAGCGTTCCCCTTGATTATAATAATTATTAATATTATTTTTTTTTTTACAGATGAATGACCTTGATTCATGCCACAGGGCAAATGAAAAGGCTTTCAAAAGAACATCTTATAATATCAATACATTGAAGGTTTTCATGAAAAACGTCATGCAAGGTTTCGCAGCTTCTACAAGTAAGTTTGCTGTATAGCCCTTGTGGCTTAGCGCTTCTTTTTAATTATAATAATAATAATACAAGTAAGTGATATTTTATTATATTTCAGACTCGCGCCTCCACCACCACTCTTGAAGAATTGAGACACTTATGCAACATGGGAATCTTTATTGAAGATTCCCATATGTTGCATAAGTGTTTTAATCCTTCAACTTGTCGGTTTTCAAAACCATTCATCACCACCACTCTTGCTGAATGACCCACTCGGGTTTAGTGTTTCCCAGTATGTTATATTTATTACTGTCTTAAGCCAGTTTGCAAGTTTCATTATTTCACTCTCCACCAAGACAAGTTTTATCTATTAAGAAGCTTGTTTTATTTTTTTTTTTTTAAGATATTCACGTGCACGAGATTATCTGCGCAGCCTCGGCAAAACTCGCAAGCACCTGACACCCTTTTGTTCGAATCCTTATTCAATTGTTATATTATTATTATCAACTTGCTATAATTTTTATTATCAACAGTGTTGTTATTATTATTATTCCCTAATGTGTGCCTTTAAGTGTTTTCCTGACTTATTTTGTCTTACGTTTTTATACATGACAAGATGACGATGATGTGTCTGACAAGTATATAAATGGCATAAAAAAAACCATACCACGGGCGGGATTTGAACCCGCGGTCAGAGAGTCAAATCCCCCCCGTGGTATGGTTTGTTTGCAATCGTGTCATTACGATTTCGTGAGTCAGATATGAATGGCATACAATACCGTGGGTTAACTTACCAGCGCTAATTACATTTTGGGAGAATTTTCTTTTATTTGTTATGCACTGCGATTTGGCAGTTTTGAAGTTGCTATTCCTAGGATAAGGCACATTGAAATTTCTCGATATAGATGTAGATTAGAAAAGCAGTGGCAAAGATGAACCTTGTGGCACGTCAGACATTGGAAAATGGTATGGTGATACAGACAAGGTGTGAAAAAAAGACTTATGTACAGTTCAGGACATTTATTATAGGAAATGATTCGCCACGAGTGTGTCCCAATTAATATTTGGGCCAATTACTCATTACAGTTGTGACCAGGTGTGGACGTGTGAATGGCTCATTTTTGTAATTTGTTCATGATTGTAACCATGTATAGACGTGTAGATGGTTCATTACCTTTGTAATTTGGTGATGATTGTGACCAGATCTACCTGGAGTTTATTACTTTTGTAACTTGGTCATGATTGTGACCAGATCTACCTAGAGTTCATTACCTTTGTACTTGTTCAGCTATCAGAGCTTCGAGGCCCAGTCCCTGGACCCATTATGTACCTCCGTAATCTTTCGACTACCGCCCACAGGATGGGTATGAGGTACATAATAAAGGTGTTACCCGTTTAGTACTGATCTTTCCTGTATCACTTAATGTCTTAGAGAACTATGTAGAGCGCATCATATCGACAGCCATGATCTCAGTAGTCAGACGGTTTCGAGAAACGAGCAAATTTGTTAGGCAAGAATTTGTCTTCAGAAATTCGTAAATATAAAATATGGAGTGTTTCTTTTTCCCAGGTATTGGTTTTAACATTTTATCTCTGATGAAAATTATTTGGTAACGTCTAATTAACAGTGAAATTTCAGTTTTTATAATCAGGAGTCTATGGTGGCCTGGTGGCTAAAGCTCCCGCTTCACACACGGAGGGCCCGGGTCCGATTCCCGGCGGGTGGAAACATTTCGACACGTTTCCTTACGCCTGTTGTCCTGTTCACCTAGCAGCAAATAGGTACCTGGGTGTTAGTCGACTGGTGTGGGTCGCATCCTGGGGGACAAGATTAAGGACCCCAATGGAAATAAGTTAGACAGTCCTCGATGACGCACTGACTTTCTTGGGTTATCCTGGGTGGCTAACCCTCCGGGGATTAAAAATCCGAACGAAATCTTATCTTATCTTATGAATATTAGTAAATGCTAAATTAGCCTTTACATTTAATCTGTAAATTTGAAATGAAACTAGACGTTTCGGTCCTCCTTAAACCATAATCAAGTCGCGAGTGATAAAAGGTTCAGGATAGACCAAAACGTCGATCGTTTTCTCCATTTTGAGGGTTAGCTGTGAACTGTTTCCGCCACGGTATTGTGAGTTTCATTCTTCACTAAGTTTTTTTCTGTTCAATTCCACAGGTCATTTTGAAGCGCTGAAAAGGGAGTTGCAGGAACATGAAGGGGAACAGTTTGATGATGATGAGGAGGAGGAGGATTTAGACTGGGAGAGTTTTAGTGATGAGGAATGTGAAGACTCTGATTATTTTTATGAATATGAAGACTATGATGATTCTGATGAGGAAGATGACGAAGACGGGGGTGTAGATAAAGATCAAGAAGATGAGGATGAAAGGGAGAAAGATGACCAAGAACAGCATACTGTTGATAAATCTGTACAAGCAAATGATTTTTTTCCTAAGTATTTCAAGAAAAGTGCAGTGAAGAAGAAGAGTGATGAGAAAGAAGACACAAAGAAGAGTGATGGAAAGAAACAAACCAAATGGAGTGATGATAAAGCCGAAAAGAATAATGATAAAGCCATAAAGAATGATGAAGCTACAGTGAAGAATAATGATAAAGCCACAATGAAGAGGGGTGAAGCCACAGTGAAGAATGATAAAGCCACAATGAAGAATGATGATAAACCCACAATGAAAAGGGATGAAGTCACAGTGGAGAAGGATGAAGCCACAATGAAGAGGGATGATGTCACAGTGAAGAATGATAAAGCCACAATGAAGAGGGATGATGTCACAGTGAAGAATGATAAAGCCACAATGAAGAATGATGATAAATCCACAATGAAAAGGGGTGAAGTCACAGTGGAGAAGGATGAAGCCACAATGAAGAGGGATGAAGCCACAGTGAAGAATGATAAAGCCACAATGAAGAATGATAATAAATCCACAATGAAAAGGGATGAAGTCACAGTGGAGAAGGATGAAGCCACAATGAAGAGGGATGATGTCACAGTGAAGAATGATGATAAATACACAACGAAAAGGTATGAAGCCACAATGAAGAGAGATGAAGCCATAGTGAAGAATGATGAATGTGAAGAGAAGAGTAATGGTAAAAGAAAAATGATACAGCTACTAAGAAGATTGAGCACCACGAAAGAGAAAGATTATAAAGAAGCCACAAAGACGAGTGATGATACAAAAGCCACAAAGACGAGTGATGATACAAAAGCCACAAAGACGAGTGATGATACAAAAGCCACAAAGACGAGTGATGATACAAAAGCCACAAAGACGAGTGATGATACAAAAGCCACAAAGACGAGTGATGATACAAAAGCCACAAAGACGAATGATACAAAAGCCACAAAGACGAGTGATGATACAAAAGCCACAAAGACGAGTGATGATACAAAAGCCACAAAGACGAGTGATGATACAAAAGCCACAAAGACGAGTGATGATACAAAAGCCACAATGACGAGTGATACAAAAGCCACACAGACGAGCGATGATACAAAAGCCACACAGACGAGCGATGATACAAAAGCCACACAGACGAGCGATGATACAGAAGCCACAAAGCATGATAAAGAAGAAACAAAGAATGATGATAAAGAAGACACAAGTGAGAATGATAATGAACACAAATGGTAAGTTTACTACCACACTCGTTTTGGGATATACTTCTGTCATTTTTAGCGCTTCTTTTTGATTATCATAATAATAATTCTGTCATTATAAAGTATATTTTCCCTGCATTTCATAGTGTTGCAATATATATGTATTTGGATTGACATCTGAACTGTTGTATCTGCTCTGCAAAGACTGATTATGTGTGAATGATGGTGAAAGTGTTTCTTTTTTTTGGGGGGTCACCCTGCCTCGGTGGGAGACAGCCAGCGTATTAAAACTAAAACATACAGAGGCCCATAGTTGTGCAATACATTTTGTGTCCTTTGATTGTAAGTATTCTTAATATCTAATGGGCTGACATACAGAGGTAGACAAGGTGATATATAACTCGTTAACGCTTAGTAAGTTGTTTGAGCAAGATATTTTGTGAAGGGATTCGGTGATATTGGTTAACCGGACTTGAGTCCTGGAGGTGGGAAGTACAATGCTTGTACTCTGGAGAAGGGGTTTGCATGAGTGATAGTGTAAATGATGGTGAAAGTGTTACTCTTTCGGATCACCCTGCCTCGGTGGATGAGACACGATATATATATATATTATAGATATATATAAATATATATATATATATAATAGTATATATATATGATAATATATAAAAATATATATATGTATATAAAAGTAAGTAAGTAATAATTATTCAGTGTATACACAAATACAGTTACATAGAATTATCATCCATAGCACATATGTTGTAGGGAAACCTAGGATAACCCAAAAAAGTCAGACTGAGTGACTTATTTCCATTGGGGACCCTTTACCCAATAATATATATATATAATATAAATATATCTAAAATATATATATATATATATATATATATATATATATATATATAATATATATAAATATTATATATTATATAATATATGATATAAAATAAAATATAATATATATATATATTTATAAATATATATTATATATATATATATATATATATATATATATAAATATAGGTGGTAGACAGCAACCACACCCATGGAGGTACTACCGTCCTGCCCAAGTGATGAAAAACGAAGCCTGTGATCTGTTTTTACATGATGGTATGATTGCCGAATGTCTTTTGTCTGTCCTCATAAATATGCAAGATTACAGGCATTTCTTGCTACTTCTACTTACACTAGGTCACAACTACACATACATGTACACATTTTATTATATAACCACTCACTGATTTTTCTTTGATTTTATCTTAATAGTTCTTGGTCTTATTAATTTTCCTTTTATATCCATGGAAGATGGAATAAAATCTTTCCTCCGTAAGCCATGCGTTTTGTAAAGTGTCAACTAATAATACCGGAACAATAGGGCTATTAACCCCTTTTCTCTGTAAGATTACTAAAAAGAAAAAGAAGAAGAAAATTGTTCTAGTGGGAAGTCCCTGAATGGCGTGGATGTGTGCAGATGATAAGAAAGAGAATTGGATGATATGAATGAGAAGAAGCTGGATGTCCTGGCTTTAAGTAAACAAAGCTGAGGGGTGGGAGAGTTTCAGTGGAGAGGAATAAATGGGATTAGTCAGAGGTTTTTCAAATAGAGTTAGAGCAAAAGAAGAGTAGCAGAATAAATGATGAAGGATAAGCTATGTCAGGAAAAGGAGGGAACTAAATAAATGTATTAATTCATGGAAATATGGGAGTAAAATTAAAGATAGGATTTGAAAAGTGTTATAATAAGCCGTGTATGCACCGGAAAGAGAGAAGTGAAGAGGAGAGAGAGAGATTTTGGGAAAAGTTTAGTGAATGCGTGGAGTTTTGAATCAGTGTGATAGTACTGGGTGGTTGGGGAATTTAATGCAAAGTGGGTAAAAATGGTATGGAGGGAGGAGTAGTCAAAATTTGGGTGCAAGGGGTTAATGTAAATGGGGAGCCTTTAATTGAGCTATGTGTAGAAAGAATTGTAATAATAATAAATATTTTATGAAAAAGAGGATAAATAAATATACAAGGTATGATGTTAGCACGTATGAAAGTAGTTTAATAATATGATATTGTGATAAAAGTTATGGTAGCTCCAGGTTGTATACATGTTTATAGAGGGGTAACTGATATATCGGATCATTATTTATTGTAGCTACAGTTAGAGTAAGAGGTAGATGGTAAAAGAGGAAGGTGGCAGCAACAACAAGTAAGAGGAGGTGAAAGTGTATAAACTAAGGGAGGAGAAGTTCGGGTGAATATAAGCGACTATTGGCAGAAAGTGCTATGCAAAGATGAGTATGTGGGGGTTGAAGAGGGTTTGGTAAAAAAAAGAAAAAAAAATATTTTTAAAAATGCAGTATTAATTTGGGGCAAAGTTTGTGTTTATAGAGGTGGGGCAGGAGGAAAGAAGGATGATTGGGGGAATGATAAGTAAGGTGTGATTAAAAAGAAACAAGGACTTATGAGAGTTTTTACAAACAGAAGTGTTATAAGAAGAGCAGAGTATATGTGGAGATTAAAAGAAAGGTAAAGAGAGTGGTGAGAGATGTGCAAAAGGAGAGCAGATGATAGAGGGGAGAGGCACGTCAAGAAATTTTTAATGAAATTAAGATAAAATTTGGAGGGAGTTAAACAAGTAAAGAAAGCCTAGAAAATTATGGATTTGTCAGTTAAAAAAACGAGAATGGAGTTAGTAGATGGGGAGATGGAGGTATTTGGGAAGAGAGCGAGATTATTTTTGAGGAACTTTAAATTTAAATGAATAAACAAGGCATAATTTCATGCACGTCAGGGAGGTAAACCCAAATCTTTTAGGATGAAGAAGAGCAGAATGTAAGTGTGGGGGGGTACGTGAGGCATTACTAAAATGAAAGGGGGTAAAGCACTGGAACTGATGGGATCATGACAGAAATGTATAAAATCAGGGGGGGATATATGTTTGGATTGGTTGGTACTTTTGTTTAATAAAGTATGAAAGAGGGGAGGTACCTAGGGATTGGCATAGAGCATGTATATCCATTTATAAATAGGGAAAGGGACAAAAAAGACTGTAATAATTAATAGAGGAATAAGCTGTACTGAGTATACAAGGAAAAGTGTACGTAGGGTTATAATTAAAGAATTAGAGCAAGACAGAATGTAGGATGCGGATGAGCAAGGAGGTTTTAGAGTGGGTAGGGATGTGTAGATCATGTGTTTACATTGAAGCATATATGTGAAACATTATTTAGATAAAGATAGGGAAGTTTTTTTATGCCATTTATGATTTAGAAAAGGCATAATGATAGAGTGGATAGAGGAGCAATGTGGCAGATGTTGCAAGTATATGAATAGGTTGGGTAAGTTATTAAATGCTTAAAGAGTTTTTTATGATGATAGTGAGGCCTCAGGTTAGGGTGTGTAGAAGAGATGGAGACTACTTCCCGGTAAAAGTTAGGTCTTAGACAGGATTTGTAATACACCGATTGGTTTTTAATATATTTATAGAATGGTGTTGTAAAGGAAGTAAAGCTAGGTGATTTGGGAGAGGGGTGGGATTAAATTAAGGGGAATCAAATTCAAAATGGGAAATGACACAGTTACTTTTTGCTGATGATACTGTGCTTATGGAATTCTAAAGAAAATTTGCAAAGGTTAGTGGATGAGTTTGGAATGTTTTTAAAGTAGAAAGTAAAGTGAACATAGAAATAAGTAAGGTGATGAGGGTGTCAAATGATTTAGATAAAGAAAAATTGGATAACAAGTGGGGGGGAAAGTATGGAAGAAGTGAATGTTTTCAGATACTTGGGAGTTATGTGTGTCGGCGGATGGATTTATGAAGGATAGGTAATCATAAGAAATTGATGAGGGAAAAAAGGTGAGTGGTCGTTGAGGTATATGTGGAGTCAAAACGTTATCTATGGAGGCAAAGAATGGAATGTATGAAAGTATAGTAGTACATACATCTCTTATATGGGTGTGAACTTGGGTGGTAAATGCACAGCGAGACCGGGTTGGAGGCCGCGGAGATGTCCTGTTTAAGGGCAATGTGTGGTGTAATATTATGCAAAAATTCGGATGGGAAATTAGGAAAAGGTGTGAGTTAATAAAAGTATTAGCAGAGGGGCAGAAAGAGGGGTTTGTTGAGTGTTTGGTCATTTAGAGAGAATGGATCACAGTAGAATGACATGGAAAAGGCAATATAAATCTATAGGGGAAGGAAGGCGGGGTAGGGGTCGTCCTCGAAAAGGGTTGGAGAAGGGGGTAAAGGAGGTTATTGTGGGTAAGGGCTTGGACGTTCCAGCAAGCGTTGGCGTGAGGCGTGATAGATAGAGTGAATGGAGACGAATGGTACTTGGGAACTGACGATCTGTTGAGTGGTGGAAGTCAGGGTAATATTAGTGAAGGAGTCAGGAAAGCCTGGTTATTTTCATATATCGGACTTTGAGTCCTGAATGGGAAGTAAATCAGAGCCTGCACTTTAAAGGAGGGGTTTGGGATATTGGCAGTTTTGGAGGATATGTTGTTATCTTTATCTGTTTTATGCTTCTAGACTGTTGTATTCTGAGCACCTCTGCAAAAACAGTGAATAATTGCGAGTGTGGTGAAAGTGTTGAATGATTGATGAAAGTAATTTTTCTTTTTGGGATTTTCTTTCTTTTTTGGTCACCCTGCCTCGGGTGGGAGACGGGCCGACTTGTTGAAAAAAAAAAAAAAAAAATAATATATATAAAAAAAAATATATATATATATATATATATATATATATAAATATAAATATAGTATATATATGATATATATATATAGGTAGTAGGTTGTAGAACAGCCAACCACCCATGGGTAACTACCGACTGCAGCCCAGTGAGTGTAAAACGAAAGCCTTGTACATTTATGTTTTACATGATGGTAGGATTGCTGATGTCTTTTGTCTGTCTCATAAATATGCAAGATTACAGGCATGTCTCAACTTCACTTACACTAGGTCACACTACACATACATATACACATTTTATTCATACACACTCATCTGAGTTTTCTTTGATTTTATCTAATATTACTTG